GTCTTTCTATTTTTGTTTTAGCAATTTTCACCCACTCTTCTTTCAGAAGGCTTCTAGTTTTGTTATATTATTTGAGCATCTTGCATGAACAGTTTAAGATCTACTCACAGGCACACATTTCACTGTTGTAGAGGCCAGATGCTTGTCAGCTTCAATTTCCTGACTGACTGTCTTATAGTTCCAGAATTCGCTGATACTTAGTGGAATCCATTCATCCATATACATCTGCAGTGTTGCCTGTGCCACTGGCTGCCGCACAACCGCAAAGCATAATAATCTGGCCATGCTTAAGAGCTGGCAAGGTGTTCTTTTCATCAGATGATGCTCCTTTTTATCCAAACACACTTTTGGCGATTGTGGTGATTGTAAGTTCCATTGTTACTTTCAATCCACATCACTTGTTTCCAAAATGCCTCTGGCTGTTAGAAAGTCAGCACAGATCAGACACGCACAGATAAAAAGACAAGGTTTAAGTTTCTTTGACAGTTTGGTAGTATTACAAAGAGCGTAGTCATAACAGGCTAGGGTCAGTACCAGAGAGCAGGATAACCAAAACAAGAGGGACATCCAGAGATCGACCAAGAACCAGTCCAAGATTGAAAACCAAGAGAGCAAAACCAAACCTAAATGAGCTAACACGAAAAGGCAGGTCAAAACATGAAAAACAGGTCATACACAGAAAAGGCTTTTCAGATGAAGAATGCTCAGTACGCAACAGAAAGAGTTGGCAATACTTTGCAATGAACTAAACTAAAGCCTTAAATAATAGCTAACTAATGAAATGAAATGACAAATAGATGTGACAACTAGAATTCAGATGAGGAGGAGCACTGAAATTAATGTTCAGTGGTAGATAGGTGGAGGGTCATGTAATCTCCCACTGACTCATGGGAGTTGAAGTCCTCTAGACAGTCCAGGGACTCAAGTGATTCTTCAGGGAAAAGGGAACAGGCAGAGGAGGTATTCCTGGCAGGAGGTGTGACACTGGCTTTTCTAGATGTTGTTTTGCATACAGACATTGACCTTTGTGATGAGGTCACATTACTCTTCTATGTTTCTGCAAGCAAGATAGCACAGAAGAATGGTGCACCACCACTCCTGTGTCCACTAAACCTACCAGCAGGTCTTTTGCTGTCATATGAGGGTTTTACTTGGCCTTTCTGGCCAGGATGTGAGCAGTTCTGTCTGAGTCTTCTTAGTTTTGGAGAGCTTGCCTTGACTTCCAAAGTTCCCCTTAGCTGCCTTAATGACATTTTATAATGATATTTCAGGCAGTGGAAACTGTGAGATGAAAGTACTTGGATGTGTTTTTATAGAAAAAGGCTATTTTTAAAAAATAGTCTGTTGCAGAAGTTGTGTTTACTTCTTTTCAATTCATAAAAATAAAAAAAAAATAAACAAAATATGTAATTTGGCCAGGAGTTCCCAAACTTTTTTATACAACTTCACATGAACTATATTACACATATATATATTATCACATATCACACGTTTACACATCTATTGTTTTTCATGGATTCATGGATTTTTAAGTAATATGCAAGTCAAATGATTTCTGTCAATTCATCTCTCCCCTTAGCCAAGCAGAACAGGAAAACAACTGTCCATGTTAGCTGATCAGCATGCTCCACTATTCCAAACAGAGATGCCAAACACTGATAAACTGAAATAAGAGTAAAGCTGTGAGAAAGCGAGTTCATACTCTGGCATCAGTGCAGTTTCTTACTGTGCACTGGGAGGCCATCGCCATTTCCCTGACTGTGTGCGAAGAAACCAGACACCAGTAAATGTGCAGCATCACTCACTGCATCTGTTTAAAATCAGTTGATCTTTCTCATTTATGACTGAAGAGAAAGGAAGCGCCCTGAATACTTGAGAGTGTCTGCCATTGCCCATCACTCTTCCTCATACGCCTCTGCAGTGCTTCCCTGCTACTTTAAAAAAACTACTTCTCAGTGCTGGCAGCATGCTGGACCAACCTCGATGTCTTCTAAAATTTCAGCTGGACAGGTCTGAACTATTGTGTAGTAATTCTGCTGAGGATACATCAGCACTGAGGGGAAATCCTAAAGATCGATAATACCCACAACCCTGAGTGAAGAATGTAATGTTTGTGCCATTGTATCCCGATCTGGCTTGAACGAGGACTCAGACCATTCAACTATGATATCTTTGGTTCAGTGCTAACTGCTCTGTGAATGGGTGGTCTTCAAGCACACAACACCTGCTGAATTACAGACACTTTGATCTGAACTCCAGCCTTACAAGATCATGTGACTGGTAGAGCCATATATCAGTGTCCTAACTTCGTACATTATGTTAGAGCACAAATCTCCTGAGGATCTCTCTGAGGATCGCCTCTGCTGACGGAAGTGTGGGTCTAATTAAGCTTGTCTCATTTGCTTTGATGTTTCTTATATCAACAGTGCAGACTAATTAAACTTCACACACCTTAATTAGAAATTTAGTAACCTGACTTTGACTCTCCTTCTAGTTTCTCTAGTGCCACACAAAGTTAAGCCTACAGCCAAAACGACTAATGACCATTTCATGCTTCAGTCTCTAGCCTTAGTTCATATGGCTGTAAACTATTGGAGAAGAAGAATCCTCCATGCATTAGTATTAGTATTTGGTATTCATAATAACCACACTTAGTTAAGCTACAAACATTATCAGTAGAAGGATCCTTTATTTAGTGTCCAATCTCTGGGCGGCAATTACCCTAATGAGGTCATGTCTCCAGAAAATGAATCTTTGCTGTATCGCTGTCTGTGAGTTTCCTCTGATGTGGTGAGCCATTAAAAGACTAATTTGCTTATAGGGTATAATAGGCTTCCTGAACTGGAGGGGAAATTGAGTACAGGGTGAGAATCAGGGCTTATGGCCAAACTTTTGATGAGCTCTCAGCTGACCCATGAAACAATTTCATAGCATTATTGCAAGATGGTAGGGCTCTGGAAAGTCAGGGGTATGTCCTCAACTGAGTTTGCCAAGAGCAGTGCTTCAAAAACCGCATTACTTTTTACCATAGACATAACGAAGCTGTAATTGCAAACCAGCAACAATGGCTTTGTAACACAGTACTAATGTTATTCATTACAAAAGCACTGGGACACCCCTCCTAATTATTGAGTTCAGGTGTTTCAGTCACACCCATTGCTAACAGGAGTATAAAATTAAGGCTTGCAGTCTTGATAGATAAACACTGGCAATAGAATAGGTCGTATTGATGAGCTCAGTGACTTTAAACGTGCCACTTTAGTGACTTTAAAAGATGCTACCTCTGCCACAAGTCAGTTTGTGAAATTTCTGCCCTGCTAGATCCACCCTTGTCAACTGTAAATACTGTTATTGTGAAATGTAAGCATTTCACAGCACCTATCCTCCACTGAATCACTCACTAAAGAGTTCCAAATTGATTCTGGAAGCAACATCAGCAAAAGAACTGCATGTTAAGAGCTTCATAAAAAGGGTTTCCATGGGCAAGCAGCTACACACAAGCCAAGGATCAAAATGCACTACTAAGTGTGGGGGAAGGGAAAGGGTGTAAAACACGCCTTCACTAGACTCTGGAGCAGTGGAAACGTGTTCTGCGGAGTGACGAATCACGCTTCTCTATCTGGCAGTCAAATGGATGATTCTGGGTTTGGCAAATGCCAGGAGAACGCTACCTGCCTGACTGCACTGTGCCATTGTGTAAAGTTTGGTAGAGGAGGGATAATGCTATGGGGTTGTTTTTCAGGGGTTGACCTGGGCCCTTAGTTCCAGTGAAGGGAAATCTTAATGCTTCAGCATATCAAGACATTTTGGACAATTGTACGCTTCCAACTTTGTAAGAACAGTTTGGGGAAGGCCCTTTTCTGTTCCAGCATGACTGCCCCAGTGCACAAAGGAAGGTCCATAAAGGCATGGTTGGGTGAGTTTGGTGTGGAAGAACTTGCCTGGCCTGCACAGCCCTGACCTCAACCCCATCAAACACTTTGGGATGAACTATAACAGAGAATGTAAGCCAGACCCTCTCATCCAACACCAGTGTCTGGCCTTACAAAAGCTCTTCTGAATGAATGAGCAAATATTCCAACAGACACACTCCAAACTCTTGTAGAAAGCTTCCCAGAAGTGTGGAACCTGTTATAGCTGCAAAGTGGGGACCAACTCCATATTAATGCTTGTGGATTTGGAATGGGATGTCATAAAAGCTCCTGTAGGTGTACTGCGTATGTGTCCCAATACTTCTGTCCATATAGTGTATGTGGAAGCCGCTCAATGTTGGGCGACATGATATACCATTGCACACATCCAAGCTTCAGAGTCCAGAGAGAACTTGTACCTAATTCATGTAATTATTCAAAACTGTAATGTTATTTGAAGCAGGAATTTATGAAATGGATCACTTGCCTGCAGCCACTGTTGTTAGAGTAATTCAGTATTGAACTATTTCCGTTTGGCCGCCACCTGTGCTGTCTATTAGACAGAAAGGGTAAAAAGCATATTGTGGTAAATGGCTGCATAAGCTCAAATGGCATCCCAGTGGATAGATCGGATTACTTTACTTTCCCATAAGTGTTACTGATTCTTTAAATATAAATCTTTCTAGATCCAAAGTTTGTGAAGATTGTTTTTGCATACATAGCTCTATAACAACTCAATGAGTGTTTTTGACATTCCTTTAAATGTACTGATTTATGCACTGGAGCAGAATGTAGACATAGTTAATTCTTATCTTATTAACTCAGATGATCCTAAAAATGTTGTATAATGAAAAGAAACATTTTACAAGACAGAGAAGTTCTATCATTTTGTATTGTGGTTTTCAGAGGTGCTACACAAGTTTAGCTGAAATGATGGATGTTCCTGGGTCATTTTTCTATGATGAGCAAATTCACAAGTCTGCAGAGAAATACATCATATTTTACACGTTGTGTGTATGTTTGTGTGTGTATTTGTATCCATGTGCAGTGTATTGTTGTTTCTGATAGTCTAATCCTTGTTTGTTATAGTTTCATAACCTTCAGGATCTAAGGCATACTGCCTCTTTGGCCACCAAGGTGTTCATTCAGAGGGACTACAGCGAAGGCACTGTCTGCAAGTTCCAGACCAAATTTCCTGCTGAGCTGGACAGCAGGGTGAGTGGCTTTTGGAGATGACTGAGGCTTCATGAGTCTATTAACTAACCACAGCCGCTGTCTGACAGGCCAGGCTAGAATTATCTGTGGCTCCTGTACAAGGCAGGCAGAAGGAGAGAATGACAGAGATAAAAGGCAAAGCCACGGGCCTACGCACTTAAAGTTCTTCAAGGCTTCTTTACTAAAGGCAATAGTTATATATAGAACCATGACTACTCAAAGAACCATTTGAATGCTTAAATAGTTTTTTCGATGGTTAAATTGTGCTCCTCTGTTAAGAAGAATCTGTTAAATGCTTCTTCAAAGAACCTTTTTACCATCAATATAGTGAATCAAAGAATGCTTTTTTTTATACTCTGCTAAAAGTGTACCTACAGGCGGGAGGCTGGGTGACTTATCTATCACATTACTCACTTTGACAGAAACATGTAGACCTCAAAGAAATGTGTTTTATTCTGAGTGTCTCAGATGTAAAATATACTAATGAATTAGTACCTGGGTACTTATGGAACACGTTGAGTGGTATTTGCAAGGCATGTGGTAACTATGGGATTAAATAATACACAGTAATGTGCAAAAGTCAGAGACCAACCCTTTACAAGCTATTCATTTTTCAGTGTCAGAAACAAGCAGGGAACATATATTTAACAGAAAATTAAACAAAGGCCTCCAACACTCAGTATAACATCAAATCAAATAATTACTTTGTCCACTTTTTACTTTTGTGCACCTGCTGTCACTTTAACAGTTTGTGAGGCTTCCATGTAATGTTCTGCAAACAAATGTTTTCTGTTCATTTTCCTGATCCTGAAAATGAATAACTTTTACTTAATGGCTGTAATGAAACATCGTCTCCGACTCATGCACAGTACTGTATGACAATGACGGTTAATGCCCCCCAAAAAGACAACAGACATAAAACCACAAATGCATTGAACGAACTTATTTCAAATGTGTAAATCAAAAATTGTGTTTATGTATTATGTTTTATTCATGGGGAAGTGATTTGAATGAAGGACATGCAGTGTGTCAGTGTATTACGCAAAAGAGATTTTAGAGAGTGCAGTACTTTAGAGGAGGCGTTTACTGATGAAGTTAAAATGGTTTTCTTGAGCCTGTTTGTAAAATTGGTGTTTTGGCATACATAATTGTGCTTTTTAAAAACATCAGCAGAAAGTTTGCATATTTTTCATCCTGATTTCTTTACTGTCATAATTTAATACTTGAGATTTTTCGATCTGAACAGTAAAAATGTTTCTAAATTGGGAGCACTGGTATTTTTGGACTGGAGATGGAGTACGGTGGCAGGAGCTGACAATTTGACAGTGTTTTACTTTTCTTGTCGTTTACTAAATTGCTTGTATTGACAGATCGAGCGGACACTGTTTGAGGACACTATAAAGACACTTAATAACTACTATGCAGAAGCGGAGAAGATTGGTGGACGTTCTTACCTGGAGGGCTGTCTGGCCTGTGCCTCAGCTTACATCATCTTCCTCTGCATGGAGACACGCTATGAAAAGGTATTCAGATGCACTTCCTGTAACCTATTTAGATCATAATCACCAGTTATCAAGCAGTCCCCTTATCTCTTTGTGTTGAAACATAGGCCTCAGAAATCCTTACACGAAGCCTAGCCAGCTTTGATGATAAGAGAAAACCTTTCAGGCCGGGTCACCTAAGGCCTTCAAAGCATTAGTAAAGTTTGAGCTCAGTTTTGACATGCCGCCTCATTCAGGTGTGACCACAGATGCATTCAGAACAGCAGACGTAAAGTTCTTGTGAATGTAAGTCTAAAGACGTTCTGATAAGGTTTGATATGCAAGGATCCGCCATGCTTATCAATGACTCCATTTCAGTATAAGCTTGCTTTGTGACCACTCTGTGCTGAGGTGCTTGCACCTGTTTGCCAGTAGGCATACCTGAATCTTAGCACTCTGTTTTCTGTGCCAAGGACCTCTTCCAAAGGGCACCCAATTAACCCATACAGTTATGCTTTACCTGCCAGTTGTTCAGATGGAATGAACATGAAAGAAACACAAAGCCCCTGCCGACCCTTTGTTCTTCCTCCTTTCCCTCATTTCACATGCTTAAGCTTTTCAAAAGTGGACATGCTTTCATTTGGTCAGATTTTGCACACCACTCAGATCTCATGAATCTATGCAGAGCATTATTTACCCAAGCCTGAGAAATGAACCCCATCCGAAATGAACGATGAGAAACTGCCCCCACCCATGAAGAATATTTTGGTTTGCCGCTCCAGCTGACAGAGGGCCACACATGAATGGACATGGATGGGTGCACACATGCCTAAAGCTACCCAGATAAGCATCTTCCTCATCAAAGACAAGTGATTGCGCACGTCAAGGCAGCAAAGGAAAAGAATGAGAGGTTGTAGTGTCTGTGGGGTTGAGTCCAAAGTCCATAAATCAAAGAACACACTGACCTCTCTTTATTATACCCCCAAACATTATTGTGTATTACTGTTATTGTACATGATCATGGGAGAATATTAAACCATATAAACTGTCCATCAAACATTTTTTCTAGCTTTTCACAGCTGTTTTCTTTATCAACGTATTAAAGGCATACAAGGTTTATTTTTTACAATGTAAAAGATAAAAAGCTCAACTTAAAATTGTCAAGTTATTACAAATATATTTTTTTTTCATTCAGACACCAGAGTTCACCCAATTCAAACTTTAGTTTAGTCAAAAGCAGGAGCTTTTATTTAAATCCGTAGGCATTAATATGGAGTTGTTCCCCCTTTTGCAGCTATATCATCTTTTAGTCTTCTGGGAAGCTTTCTACAAGATTTTGAAGTATGTCTGTGGGAATTTTTGCCCATTCATCCAGAAGACACTGATGTTGGACGAGAGGGCTTGGCTTGCAATCTCCATTCTAGTTCATTTCAAAGGTGTTGAGGTCAGGGCTCTGTGCAGGCCAGGCAAGTTCTTCCACACCAAACTCACCCAGCCATGCCTTTATGGACCTTGCTTTGTGCACTGGGGCACAAACATGCTGGAACAGACTTCCCCTAACTGTTCCCACACATTTAGAAGTGTACAGTTGTCCAAAATGCTTTGGTATGCTAAAGCATTAGATTTCTCTTCACTGGAACTAAGGGGCCTAGGCCAACCCCTGAAAAACAACCCCAGAGCATTATCCCTTCTCCACCAAACTTTACATTTGGCACAATGAAGTCAGGTAGGTAACGTTCTCCTGGCATTCGCCAAACCCAGACTCGTCTATTAGACTGCCAGATAGAGAAACGTGATCCATCACTCCACAGAATCCAGAGTCCAGTGGCAGCGTGCTTTACACCACTCCATCCAACGCTTGGCATTGTGCTTGGTGATGTAAGGTTTGCATGCAGCTGCTCGGCCATGGAAACCCATGCCATGAAGCTCCAAGCGCAGGTTTTGTGCTGATGTTAATGCCAGAGGAGGTTTGGAATAGTTATTGAGACAGCAGAGCGTTGGTGACATTTATGCACTGTGCGCCTCAGCACTCGGCGACCCTGCTCTGTAACTTTATGTGATCTGCCGCTTCGTGGCTGAGTTGCTTTGGTTCCTAAATGCTTGCACTTTTCAATAATACCACATGGACTATCTAGGAGGGAAGACATTTTGCAAACTGACTTGTTGCAACAGTGGCATCCTATTACAGTGAACTCTTTAGAATGACCCATTCTTTCACAAATGTTCGTAGAGGCAGACTGCATGGCTGGGTGTTTGATTTTATACACCTGTGGCAATGGTGTATAAATGAATGAAACACCTGAATTTAGTGATTAAGAGATACAATACATGAAAATACATTTTGGACTTTTAACCCACTTGACCCTCTATCTATAATCATGTTTAATTTATTAAAACAAATGATTGAACATTCCATTTTGTCACTACCAAAACAATAATAACACTACACAAACTTTACTAAATGTAGACTGTTTCAGTACTGACAATTTTAGCTACTTAGTATAATTCAAAAATATTAGCCAATACATAACTAGCAAACTCAGTTTAGAACAGTTGTACATACATAAAATCATAATATTTACATTAAATCACAAAAAAACTTAATTGCAGAAAATGTGTTTTAGTAGTGACGATTCTTAAGGTTGTACATTGATTTTCAGGCTTTTTGGGACAAATTTACTTTGAAGCAATTCGAAACTGTTGACTATGTGGACATGAAGGACAGGGATGCAGCCTCACTTCCTGCTCTAAAATGCAGGGGTGTGGCTAAAATAAGGCTCTGCTTATAGACTGAACCTCTATGTATATCTGTAGTGATATGAAAATGTGCGGCAGCATTTTTTGAATAATGAGTTTTTATTTAAGAATTAAACTCAAAGTAAGTCTAAGTCTTTCAACTTAATTTTAAAAGAAGTTTTAAAAACCATTTTTTCACAAGTTGAAAGTTAGGAGTTAGGCTTTGGGAGAGCCAACTCCCAAAAGAAATGATCCTATAAATGACGATTTTGTACATATTTAGCTTTTTACTATCTCAATTCATGCCTTGAGTTTAAATACATCATTACACAATCATTGTAAATATCTAAGGTCTGAATACTTAAATGTTTCTAAATTAAATAACATCTCAGCGGGTTGATAATAGATATTGATTCCAGTCATTATTACCAAAAAACGTTAAGCATGTGGGAAGAGGGCCTTGGAATTCCCAGAAGTTTCAGAAGCACACTACTGTGTTCACTGTGAAACTGTAGTTGACAGAAAGCATGAGGGAGCATGATGAACACTTCAAAAGGCATGGCAGAAAATCCTTGCTGAATAAGCATTTAAAAACAGCTATTATACCATAAATCATTGCAAGGTTTGTTCATGGTCACTGAACTCAGACCAGATCAAAGTGTCTTTTCTCTGCACCTTCTCAGAATCATCTTGCTGCTCTTCACAGCTGGTTATGTAAAGTGGAAAGGCAAACAGAAAAGTACCGCACAGTTTCACCCCACTGAGGCTGTGAAGCAGCAGGCAAGCACCTGATGTGATGCCTACTTGCAAAATCTAAAATCATATGCTAAAGCAATCTAAATAAACTCCTCTCATCAGGTTTTACTGAAGTTCTAAATGGGCCTTATAATCTACTACAAAAAAGGCCGTGCCTCTTAGCAGAGGTTATAATAGAGGTCTTGTAAGTTCTAAACAGATATTTATTTCAATGCAATGTTATGGGAGTTAAAAGAATACATAATTACATGATGGAATTCTCCTCGGTTTAGATTATGGGTCTGGGAAAAAAGGAAAGTTTGGTAATTTATTGTAGTTTGTATCTCTCATGGTTGAGCTTTAGAACTCCGTGGAAACCATATGAGTCTGGTAAATGGTCTTCTATAGTGATATTTTCATGCTTTCTTTTCCATGTGATTTAGTGAACCTATTTGTTATCTCTGTCTTCTCTACCTCCTATATAGGTCCTGAAGAAGATCTCCACATACATTCAGGAGCAGAATGAGAAGATCTACGCTCCCCGGGGCCTACTCATTACAGACCCCATTGAGAGAGGCATGAGAGTGGTATCCTTTATACATAATACAAGCTGACATTCTGGGGAAATGGGTTAACTCATTTTGTACGGCTGACCTTTAATCAGTATTTAACCTTTACATTGCGTAGGGATTCTTTAAACTTGTAAAAGGTTCTTCACACTCACACATTTACAAAAACGAGCCATCCACTGAAACATTCTTAAAGGAACCGAAAGTGTTTCTTCTATGGCACTTTTATGCTTCAGTTTATGGCACTGATGGGAGATCATGTTGTTTCATACATGAACCTGTGACAAAGACCACCAAGAGATTTATTTTCCTTTTGTCCTTCAATTAAAATTAACAAATCCTTTGGTGGCATCCATAGATCTAAATCCAGTCTGGTCAGGAGATCTTGGGACCACAATAACAGCTTACATGAAGCTTGAGGTGGCAGATGAAAGGAAGCAGTTGGTGAACTTTCTTTTCATTGAAGCTAACACATTTACATGAATTGCACAAAATAGGCACTCTGTAGGAGATAATAAGGTAGGGTTGTATAAGGAGGGAGGAAAGGCATGATCCCTTGGCTCGGCCAACCTGATGATTCATTCATGATTCATCAAGTATATATAATGACTAGAGTAGACAAGCTTCTGACTAGAACATCAAAATCTGTGAAAACATGGAAAAACTTTATAAGCAATCAGAATGTCATGAGTGACATATTACAGCCATGCATAATGATACATAAGCAAATGAATAAATGAACTAGGTCTTCTGCTGTAATATGCCCTCACTGTGACCCAAGGGATGGCTGGACCTCGATATGGGTGTGTACTTCACCATTAAATGTGCAAATGTATCCCTATACACCTGACCTAGTTTTTACCCACTTTCCAGGTATGGTGCTCTAATCAGAATGCTTTAATTGCCATCCAGGAATATATATTTTTTTAATTCCATAATTTATGGTGTTTTCTTTTGGGAAATGACAATATCTCCAGCAGACCATCAAGTATGCCTGGCAGTGATGTCCTTGTGTCTTTCAACTATTCCAGTTGCCTGTGGCAAGACTGCAGCAGCTCATGCAACTTCTCATGGGTGTTGTCACCTCTGCTGCAGTGGGCCAGCAGTAGTCTTTCCACACTGACCACCAAAAATCTTTCACAGGGCCTTGGGTGTTCCAACAGAGACATCAATGTCAAGTCACTATGCAGAAAGAACATGCTTCACTTTTCAAGCAAGATTGTCCATATATAGGTAGATAGGGATGTGAATGAAATACAACCACTGGAGAATGAATATAAATGCATTTATCTTATGAATATCCATAATAAAGCAATGTGCAAACCAGAGACCACCCTTCATTTCTTTCATTTCCAGTCAACTAGGTATTCATTTTTTAACATAAGGAAAAAAAACAGAAAACATATATTTAACAGATGATTACAGAGAAGCCTCAACAACAACATAAAGTAATAAAAATTTAATATTTAATGTGTCCATCCTTTATTACGGTTTCCATTCTTTTCGGGAGATATTTTTCTCACACCTTCAAATTTCAGTCTTGGTTGCATTTTCTCCTTCTCATGATCCACATAATCCCAAATACTTTTAGCAATGTACTCTGGCTTGGCCGGCCAATTGTTCTGAGAACACCAGCAGCTACACGTTCATAACCATAGCATTGAGTTGTCTTCTCACAGTGGAAGGATGGACAGAAACACCTGTGAATTTTTTCAGATCCGAAGCAAGAGTCGAACTTTTTTCTTCTCTCTCAAAGATGAATACATTTAACAGTGTAGACCATGGTGGTCTACCATGTCTTGCTCACTTGTTAAGAGTCCTATTCTGTATATATCTTTTTATGATTTTTGAGCTTCAGTTTTGGAAGCTCCTGTTTTTTCACGTTTTTTTTTACTTTCCCCTTCCATATGCAGATGGCTTTTCTTATATCTAATCTTATCCTCAGAAATATCTCATGAGAAATGAATAATTTGATGGGTGTTTTAACTGAAAATAAACTAAATGAATGAATCTGACTTTTGCACAGTACTGCACATCTCATATTAATGACCACCTGATGTGAACAAAAAAACTTCATTATACATTATGGCCACACTTTATGGAAATTCAGATTGATCATAACAGATTCATGTATTTGTTCTTTGTTATAACCCTTGACTACAATGGTGTAGATAGAAATCTCCATCTTTGAAGACCGCAGCTCCAGTGGCTCCAGCTCCAGTGGTAGCTCCACGTCCAGCAGCAGTGCTCGGTGACTGGAGGAGCAGCACCAGGGGTACGGGTATCGGGAAGCCAGGGGGCTCCCCAAGATCCGCATGTTGAAACATGAGAGCACCAGATTCTGAATGGAGAGGAAGTAAATGCCACTTCTTCCTCTTCCTCTGTCTCTCTGCTGTGCCAACCATCGCAAAAGCAAGGAGCATAAACTCACACTTAACCTTCCTTAACCCTGTCCCTTCATATTATCCAATCCTCTGCGTTTCCATTAGCAACAAATATGATCTCTGTGCTACACTCACCAACAATCAAGTTAAATCTTTCCATCCATATAATTACCATTACAGAGATATGAGGTTTTGTTATAACAGCGTCAATATGCTTTAATCAGGATATTTTCCTAAGGTTACTGTTTAGATACCCATCTATTCCTGTCCATTTCGAGAAATAGTTTTGCATTTGGCAGCTGGGTTGATACTGGATAGTGGCCGAGTTCTCCTTGTCCTTCTACCTGGTCTTCTTTAGAGGCACTGATGCAGTTCACTGCCAGTCCTGACCCGTGCAGAGCTTGAGGCTTCCGTTCACCCAGCCATCTCCACCATTCACCTGTGGCTCAGTGGCTCAGTGTTTTGTGGTGTGGGCAGCATGCCCAGCTGGACAGAGCTCTCTCAGCGTCTCACCTCATTGGGAATGCAAGCAAGCTTCAGCCCTTCTGGGGCCTTTTGTCTCTGAGATGAAAGCTACCCATCATTTCTGCTTGTACACAAAGCTGCACAGTTGATGAGGGGAACAGAGAGGAGGAGCAAGGTCAGGCTTCCAAATGAACATCAGACAAAGTACATTTAGAGGAGCTTAAATCAACAGCAATTTTATGTGGGTTCTACAACAGAGCAGCTTTGAAGCAATCATGTGTGATGTACATTCTGATGCAGTTCCTCCTTGGTAAGTTTTGTATTAATGAGAGCCTCAAGGCTGCATGTCTGAATGCACACTCGGAAGCTTAGTCTGTAGAGGGATAAAAAAAAAACAAAAAACCCTTTCACTCCCTCTATGTGAAATATGATGGAGTTTATGTCAGAGAATGAGAACAGATTGTGATATGATTGCATTTTTCTTTGCCTGGCCTTTGATCTTCATTAATTTAGTGGCACTCTGGGCGCTGCAGCCACAACATGGGAGTTCAAAGTAAGCTGGAACAAACATCACTGCTATGATTTGTAGTATGAATAGCAGTTGTTTACTCAGATTTGAAAGAGAGGCTGATTAGATTCAAAGCAAATGGAAATGTAAGAAATCTTTGCATCAGAGGTCTTTTCATTCAGTTCTATGGAAACGCGGGTCTTTTTATGTCCTTTTTCACATTCTTCATTCTCCTTTTTCAATACATCTCCTACTTTTTATATTATTATTATTATTTGTAAAAGAATGTTGATCCATATATATACTGCTTACAAGGAGTGCGTTATAGTCTGAACATGTGCAATTTGTGCTGCACATACTATAATCCATGTTCATGTAGCAGAAATTGAGTTATTTAAACACATTAAGCACCCTTGTTGCAGATATGCATGGGAAATTCATTATTTTTGCGTTATTTTGAGTTACTTAAGTTTAAGTAGCTAAAGTCTATGGTGTACTACTTTCTTTATATATTGCTTCATTTGTTTCTTTTCTTTCTTACTTTCAGTTTTCACCTGGCTATCCTAAAACCCCTTCTGATCTTTCCTATGGTTGGTTGCCTTTTTTTATCCCCCCAAGACTCCTCAGTAAGCCAGTGCTGGTCTCTGAGCTGGCCATCAGATCAGTAGTGCTCTAGTGCGCACCTCCTTGTGCCTACTGCCTTCATGTTTCATCGCTGTGGGGATACCCAACCTGGTGCTGACCAACTGGAAAATCCTGACAGCCAGAGAGCCGTCTGTAAATTGTACATGACTTGCACTATAGATGCATGAGATTTGTTCTGTTTTTGTGTGGCCAAAAAGTAGAACGTCAGTCTCCAAGTGGAAACTCTGTATTGGCGTTCAGTTATGAAAGGCCCTTGAGTTTAATATAAAGATTGTGTGTTCATGTATGCATGTATAAAGTGAGAGTGTGGTCATGGACATATATAGGTACAGTGTATATAGACATACAGGGATATTTCAGATTTATACAATGTATAGGGGGTAGGTGAGAGTTTTTAAGCGTGCATGGTTTACGATTTTTTTTTTTACTGTGACTTACTGTAAGAAAATGCTAACTTGAATTACTGAATTACATAAAAATGGACTGGTGAAATGAAAGCTAATGCCAGTTGTATTTGTGTTATCGTTGATATAAGACAGTTAGCTATAATGGATTAGACAAGGCTGTGACATTGCATGTTTTGGAGTGGCTTATGGTTGGCTGAGACTGACTCTCACCATGGAGATTGGTGTCCCTCTAGCAGAACATATGTAAAACTGTTTCCTACAAAAAACATGACATAATAATGCAACACACATTAAGACGACATATGTTACCATATGTTTGTATATACAAGCTTTCTATTTTGGTCAGGAATGTATCATTCCTCATGTGTAGAGCACAGTCAAGCCAATTCAATGAAGCATCCTACACTTTTTGGCACATTCACTGCTCGGGTAAAGTTTAGTTAGACTAAATAGAAACGTGGAGGAAAAGTCTGGTCAAAGTTTACTTACTACCATTGTAGCCTGTATGATGTTATGTGTAAACAGTCTTATTTTTGTATAGATAATTATTTTCTGTCTTCGTATCAGACAGGAGTATAGTATAGACTCTCAAAACATACTGACACTATCAGATTATTCTAATATATGAAATGAGCTAGTGGCTCATTACTGCTGCAAGGCCATTGACAAATTTGTGACATTTTTCACATACATTTATTATTGTTGTTTGCGTATAATTGTAAAATATATAATAAAAAATATATTTCAATAGATTTTGTTTATTCTAGTATTGCTTTGTTCATGTGTCGGATGACAACCACAAATGACCGTGCCCAGCTTAATCAAATAAACAAACCATACACTGCCTGCACTTTAAATATGATAAACACACAAAAGGCCTGTTTTGAGGGTCTGTTCTGTATTCCAGAAAAAGTGAGAGATGTGTATTGTCACCTTGCACTCATACCCTCCTGTATAGGGGCATTTTCACACTACAGGCAGGGTGACTCAGGGGTGACTCAAGCAAGCACCAAAATGGAATCTATCTCACTCTGTCCCTGACATTAAGCTCCAGTATTGGCGAGAGAATAAGCAATATATTCTTATTTCCGAGGAAATGATATTGTCCTTGATCTGACAGTTAAGTATCCCATGCCAGGGATGGAGGATTAGAGTTACGACTTTGGCAACTCCAGGCCGCTTTTTGTTCTGTAGCATAATGGAGCATTAGCAGTGGATCTGTTCTTCCTCCAGAATATTGCTTCAGAAGAACAAGTTCACCTGCTTCTGGTGTGATGAAAAGAGCCCTCGAAAGCAACAATAGGAAAATCATTTGGCTTTTCCTCGGAGATTAAAATCCTGAAACAATAATAAGCACAAAGACAATATTCATAAAAATAGTTATTGTTCAACCCAGTCTTCAGAGCAGCTTTGGTCTAAAGATAACAGAGCGAAACAAGCCTGTTTTACACACAGATGTACTGTAAATAGCCTGGGACAGAGAGTTCTGTTGTCCTTGCTGTTGTCAGGCTGGGGGAAAGTAAAAATGCAAAGCAACACATCCATCAGAGCCCTCTCATAAAGCCTGCGGAGATAAGCCTGGGCCAGGTTTTTAGGCTCCTGCTGTTGTGTAGCCTTAAAGAAACAGACTTGAGTAACTGTCCACTAAGAACAGGCACACCTGTAGGGAAAGGTCAGTGCTGGATCTTAGGACATCTGACAACAGCTTCCAGTCTTTTTACTGTGGCATCACACAACGCAGGGTCTGTTCAGGGGAAGAAAGGGCTCTCTTCTGTTCCTGTCTGGGCCTGCATCTCTCTATACTCTGTCTAAATACATGTGTAATGCTTTTGGTAGTCTTCTGAGTCTTCAGATAGGTGCTTTTCAATTGACAATTCAGTATCCAATCAAATACTTTAGCTAACAAATGTCCCTATTCACATAAAAAAACAATATTACATTTGAAAGTCACATTTAAGATGACCAGATCTGTCCTATTTTATCCTTGAGTTGTTTTTTTTTCAGCTTTCATAAAATAAGGGCAATATATTCAAACATTTGGTCAACACATGATCAAAAATTGGTAGACTCCCCCATAGCACCACCCCAACACACATCCAAGTGCTTGAAGCTTGTAGTCTAAACCCATACTCAAGTAAAAGTAAGAAAAGTTCACTTAATTTTGACTTAAGTAACAGTAAAAGTAAAAGTATTAGGTAGAAAAACACTTAAAACTGTGAGCAGAACTTACAGCCAGTATTTATCAGCACAGGAACTGAGGCTTGTTGCATTCTGCTACACTGTTAGTCTAATTTAAAATGCTGAAACCTCAAAAGTCGGCAATCTAACTAAAGGTGTCCAGTCCAGTTTGATTCTTCCAGTGTGGTACAAGGTATCACAGCACTCCAGTTTTATTGAGGTTTGTTTTAATAAAAATAGCTTCAAAAGCTAACACAGACCAAATGCTTTTATCAATGTAACACAAGGAAATGAAACACAAAAAAAGGAATTAGTAACTAAATATTCATGTCTAAAATGTAACTGATTAAAAATTGACTACAACTAAAGCATTAGCCTTAATCTCATCTTCTCTAACCTCTCCTGTTCATCATCCTGAATACAAAATCACTATAATAAATAGGCTTTCCTTCTTTAACCACTGGGTCTTAGAGGACTAGGCAAAAGGCCTCACTCTCTAAAATGTTCTATTTATTCTTGGCATTAGTAGCAATAATAAATGCATCGTCCCCTTGGTGGCTTGTACAGGAGATGTGAATTTTATTGGTATTAAATTTCTTGGTGATCCGTTCTAAGCTCTGTGCCAGTGCCTGCTCTCTATCTCTACGCAAGCCACCCAGCGGCACAAGCCTTTCACTGATTAATGCAGATATTTCTGTCCAGCTCGCGTCAGACAAGCTGCAATAATTCAGTTAGGAGCATCAAGACTGGCTGGAAAATGTTTGAAATACTCAAATATTTAGATTGGCCACAAAAGGCTGGGCCAGTAAAAATTCACTCATTCCAGTTTGGAGAATGGATGCCAGCTTTGCAAACTAAATCTGAAAAAGTGTGGAACAAATGAAAGGAACGGAGGGAAGTCACAAGATGGCAAAACACAGAGGACTAGACATACTACTATAAATATGTCCAATAACGCAAACATACAACACACTGTGACAGCCTACTGTAAAGAAAAATAGACTGTAATATTTTTTAATTAAAAGAACAGTCACTCTTCCTCTTGAGCGAGTCTAACCACTCTTTTAGTGAGACTGGACTGTCTCGGCTCGTTGTGCAGTATCAAGTGGTTCTTAGTCTAACATTTGATCAGAACAGAAAAATAGTGGTCATTACAATACAGCACAGTTCACTCAGCCAAAGCACAGGCCCTCAGCATCCACCCACAACCTTCCAGACATGCACTCTTAGAAAAAGGAGCCCTCTATTCATACATTCCTGGTTGCACACTTCATTGAGACCAAGTGGGCACTCACCAAACTCATCAGTACGAAAAGTATCTCATTCATAATCTTAACAAGCAGCATTTATCCATCATCTGAACACTCCAAATTTGGTTTTACAGCTACCAAGCACAAGTTTGCAGACCTTGTGATTAGCACAATCTCCCTGCCTTTCTCTTCGGTGTCTGGCTACATTCAAACCCACCATTTATTATGGTTTGCCTACTCTTGGAAACTCCTCGAAATTCACTTTCCCCCAGAAGGCCTGCCATGTTAGCTTTGGCTAAGGCTGTTAAACCTCAAATACTGACACAGGTTTTGTTGTGTCTCTTGCTGAACATCCAGCATACACAAAGTCCCTAAATATACACAACGGCAGTGAGCTTTGTTGTCAGATATATTTAGTACTGAGTCCCATCACAGAATCCAGCTCAAGGTTATGGCATACTGATGGGAGATCTAGGGAAAAGACTGATCCTTTCATAACCTGCAACATATTCGTCTAAATCCAAAAATAATCAGTGGACCACACATCGAGGGAACAAACTACCACACAAACCTTAGTCCATGAGTTATTGCTAAAACATTTCTCTGTTTTTGTTCATTTTAATGGCAAGCTTTGACTGCTAATTGAAAGTATAGGAATTACTTGTTCCTTTTCAATAGGTATGTATTTCACAGTAGTTTCTCCTACTTGTACTTTAGTTCTGGCCTTTTGATAGCCATTACTTATTAATAATGACTAAAAATTAAACATGTAAAACATAATAAACAGTGTGGTGAAACAAAGTGACTCTTTAAGGCATAGCCTTTTTACAAAAATCCAACAAATAATAGATTCAGAAAGTCCTTTAATCCACACAATATGTTTTGTATTTGTTCCCAAAATATGCTTTTACAGCTAACAGAGAGCCACAGTGGTTGAATGTTCTGTTCCATTTAGGCAGTGTGTTTGTAAAGACTTCAGTGCCTAAGCTTGTGTGGAAGAGCCCCTCTGGCACAGGCCTGTGCTGCAGGAGGAATGCCAGTGGCAGGGAATGCGAGACTGGCCGATGGAGTGCAGCATGCCTCCCAGACTGAGACTTATCCACCAATCCAGCAGTGATGCTATCAGCTACACCCTCTTCCCTGCAAATCTCTCTGCCATGTTCCCTAGCACGCTATCTCTGGGTGCATTTCATGCTCTTTTATCACGACAGGTACTGATTCAATCATTACCTTATCACATCTGCAGCCACAGCATTAAGAGGTTTGTGGAGCAGAGGTTGAGTATGTTTGAAGTCTCTGTATTTTTTTTTTTTGGATATTATAGCCAACACTAGGATTATATGATGGCTACTCATGGCCATCACAGTCCACTCAGAACATTACCCCAACCACACTCATCTCCCACTCATCTAAAAAGCACAAAAAAGGAAAAAGGAAAAAAGGAAAGCCTAAATTTCACTTCATCACTGGCTACCTCAGTGGAAATGGAACAATTCAAAGTTCTTTCGAGTACAAAAGCAAATGTTTATAATATACTTCCAATGTTTAACTGAACAGCAGAAACTTCTTTTAGCAGTCCATAGATTTCCACAGATATTTAGCTGCCAAAAAGAGCCTGATGTGTGCTGTGTTCATGACTGTAACATCATGCTAGCTAAAGTTAGGCCTTTAACAGAACCCTTAAAAGAACTTAGCAGTGTACATTTTAGGGGTACCAGCATCAATTAATACGATATAGATGATTTGACAATATGCATGTCAATCAGACGTTGCTACTTTTCTAATTTTCCTGTCCACTTATGATGTTTGTGTCTCAAAGCATTCCTACATGACCTTTTTCTAACCTCTCTTTATCCTTTAGAATCAAACAGGGTATTTGTGTTACTGTGCCTTTAATACTGATCTATGTAATGATCTCTGATCTGATTGACTACCCTGTGTTCATTCAAAGACAGATGCTGACCTGGTACTTATGTACTTGCACTGAAAGGTACTTAGGTACTTTTACATTGTAAAAATGGTTTGTCATTTTAACCTAAAAAATACTTTACGTGGTAACATGCAATTTAACTGATTTTATTCAACTCAGGTAAATACTTTAAATGAAACGAGGCAAATTGTAAGTTTAAATGAACAACACCAATGTTGTATATGACTTCAAGCCTCAAAAACACTTCTTCTGCCATGCCTGTAATGTACCTGTCACTATTTCGCCAAAATAGTATGTTTTGCTACTCTACATACCTCTGCTATCAATTTGCATCTATGAATGTGAAGAGTAACACAAAGTCCCAGACCTGTTTCAACTGTGGTCCTGGATTCATATTAGCAAAGATACTACATTATTTCCAGACAGGATCTAAAATTCCACTGAAAACACACAGAACAGAAGCATTACTTCAGCATATGGTCATAATATCAAGCCTTGTTACGATTCAGCATGTACTTTAAAGAGCTGACCTGATGGTCATGCATCCTTCCCTTTAGTGCTTGGACCCCATGTTTCTCGTTTACCTTGCTGGCTAATTGCCCAGCAAATGGCCAGAGGACAGCACCTGGAAAAACAGGTACGTCAGTGGTGTGAGCACTGTGTTCCACTTGCTCTGAACCATGGGAGACATGGACCATGGCCCAGCGCAGCCCACCCCCCCACCGTGTTCCTTGGCCCCCAAAGGCACCGGCCTTTCAAAAGGCCCGAGCAGGCCTTAGGAATCTAATGTTGCATTCAAAAACAACAAACAGATAGCGACCTCACATCATGGCAGGCTAAGTCTGTTTGGCTTTCCTCTGCAAGATCTAATCTCACTCTTTCTCTCTTCCCACCCCTCCCTCCTTATCTGTAGCTACTGCCTCTGTCACTCTGTCTCTCATACCTACTCAAATTACTTCAAGAATTAGTCACCTTCTGCAGAAAGTCCTGAAGACACTTTTAAACTCACTTCACACAGTTTTCTATGGACTTCATCATTCAAAGTTGTCTATCAGTGTACTGTTGGAGATACAAGCATGTTCTACAATGCTTTTCCGAAAGAACACCAAGTACACCAAAACGACACAAGCAAGAAAAGATTCCAGACTTTATTTTATACAGAGAAATCTTCATTAACATTTAATCCTGCAAAAGACCGACGCTCATTCAATACATCTGAAAGAATATAGACTGAGTCTGTTTACAGTCAACGTCCTTCATCACTCACTCCAGAACACACATTTGTCTGCTTTCTCCATTCGCTTTCACTTTAAGAGCCTCACCATGGGGAGCTTCTCATTCCACAGGCTGACCTCAACATGTCATTGGGGAAGATAATGACCATTACTACTCCACTGAAGAATATCAAGGGAGACTTGCTCAGAACATTTTTGCATATCCTGTAAAAATATTATATTTGCTTATTGATTTTTTTGAAAGCTACTGGCGCTCGGTTTCCTGTTGTGTTTTTTCATCACTATGCAACTGTGGAATGTCCTGCAGTAAAAAAAACCAAAACTGTTTTCATCAGCTCTGTCACCAGTACACGTATTACTGGAATTACTTGGTGTTTACAGGACATGTCCGCCAGCTCTAGTTAAATTAGATGCTTTTTCTACAGCTTTAGCCATGTTTGATTCTAAATGTTGTGACTGAACCACATAATGCAGAATATAATGGAAAAGAAAACCGTGTCCTTCTCCTCCTACTGTCAGCCACTTCTGGAGAGATATCAGGCTATAGCTGCACAAACTTTCAATATATCTCACTGGAGTTGTTAATTATAGCCTACATTAGAACATAAATAGATTATCCCTTTCAATTTAAAATGACTGATTTGAATAATAATAATATACAGTGGTTCAGCAATGCAGTGAATATACACTTAGTAAGTAAAAATAACAACATTTTGAACATTTTCACTATGGTTCTTTCGGGCCTGTTGAATTATTCATGGCATGTACATCCGGGAGATAAAGATTTTGAATATGTCTACCAAACAGGCTATGTAACACTGGAATCTTAATGTATAAAGCTAGGAAAGTTTGCATAGCAATGACTTGGTTTGGGGAGAAATGAGGTTTAAACTTGAATTCCACAAGCACACCTGTGATGCCTTTTGCATCCTCACCATAGAGACAAAATAAAAAGAGCACCGGGCAGACTTTATTGTTAAAATAGGTCAGGGCCTTTTGATTGGATTTCTGATAACTTTGGTATTTCATCCTTTAATGTATTTCAAAAGAACTGATGGGTGATATAGAAAAAATCTAAATCTGACTAAATATGTGATGCTAATATGTCATCTACGTTTTGACGCTGTTGGGACAAAACCTTGCATCTCCAATTTTGTTGTTTTGATTGTTTGACATAATTTAAAAATGCCAACAGTCCTTAACAGTGTGTAATCATGAATGGACCAACAGAAAATGCTAAATAACTCGGAATAAACAGTTTCTACATTAACTTCCATTAACAGTTAAGAATGTATTTTTATTCTCTTGTAAAGTTTGGAGATATGAACTTTTGTTCAGACAGTGATACTGAGGTCAGTTTTTCTCTATAAACAATGCCATTAGCTTTAACTATCATGTTTTCTCTAGAAACAATTAGCTTAATTTACTGTATAACTAAGTCAAATCAGACCTGAGAAAACTGAAAAGCTGAAATCTGAGCAGTATTCAGTGCTTTGGTGGGACGGCTGAATTCAGAAGCACATTTCTTAACAACTTTTGTGGTTCTGTTTGTTTCTGCATGTCTTTTGGACTTTACACTGTGTCTCCTCTACACTGGCACTTAGAATAAATGAAGAAGAATATTAAAGACCTATTAAAGTGATGCACACTTAACTACCTGCTATGATTACATCAGAGTTAATGGCCTTTCCAGGAGCTGATGACATCCATTGTTTTTTGTGGACTGAGTATAGGTCAGAGTTAAGAATGTGTAGTGGCGACACTTGGGCATGTATTATTCAGTGTTTACAGACTGTAACCTTGGATAAAGCAGATGGCTGGGCATATGTTCCCTGTCTCCAACAGTTTCTCTTCAGGTCTCACTCAGAGGCTTAAAAAGCAGCAGTCACACTGAAGCCAGGGTACAGCCAACATGAGCTAACGCTTTATAGCAACAAGCAGGCAGTATAAATAATAAAACATGACCACTTTCTACAGGAGCACAGTGTTCAAACATCTTATTTCAGCCGACTCCAAACTTCTTCACTCCTTCACACTCTCAGTCCGACTACTTTTAGGGCCTGGACAATACACTTAAGAAACACAAGCAGACAATTAGGAGTTCTTGTAATGCCTTTTACAAAAATATGGCAGCAGAGAGTTCAAGAAAACTGCCTCAGATATTTGCCTTGCAAAAGCAAATAGCATAAATCCAATTTCAGTTTCATTTCCGTTTCACTGTGGTTGTGCACATGGTTTTGATAGAATCAACACCAGCAACTTGGTCGTTGATCTATTATATTAAATATTAAACTGCAAGCACTGCTGAAGATGATTCTTTGCACATATTTCGATATGTAACTTTGCACATATTTTCACATTATTATCGCATTGAAACAAAATTAGGGTTGTGTATGAAAAGGATACACCAAATAATATGGGAGGAACTGGTGAATTGTCTGTTCCATATTTGGTCAGAGGTTGATTTTATCCTCCATGCGATGGCTTTCTCACTTCACAGCCTGCCTGTTGTGACAATGGTGATTTTTCTTTTTTTTTTCAAACAGGTATCTTCTGTAGGTTCCTGTGGGCATGCTCAGTGTCTATTCTACAGGTCTGTGAGTAATGAGAGCTGAAAATGAGATGCAGCAGGGGCCACAGAGGGAGTGAGTGAGTCCAGAGAGAGTCCCCTTCATAGTCAGCTCCCAGCGCACAGAAGGGAGAGCGCACAGGAGAGGGATAGTGACAGTGAGAGGGAAGAGAAGAGGTATCTGGTCGTCAAGCCTCCAGGCAGGAAAAATGAACAGCCAGCAAAGTTAGAGAGAGTGGCCAGAGGTGAGAAGCCCACAGTTTAAAGGCAGAAGACCTGTTACCACCAAAGTATGCTACCTGAGCTGCAGACAGAAAGCACAGAGAAAAGAGAAAAGCCAGGACAGTTGATATCATTTTCATGATTATAAGGCAATGGCAAATTTAAGGCACACTATCACTGCACCGGCATGTGTGGTTGTGGCACATATATTTACCTTAGCATACACTGATCAATCACAACATTCAAGTACAGCATTGTAACACTGATATGGTGGCAGGTTAGTGTGTGCTACGCAGGTAAGAATGGATCAGACACAGCTGTACTGATGGAGTTTTAAACACCTCAGTGTCACTGCTGGGCTAGTAAGATCCAGCCAACAGCGACCTGTGACCACTGATGAAGGACTAGAGGTTGACTAACACAAACTGTGCAGCAACAGATGAGCTACTGTCTCAGACTTTACATCTATAAGGTGGACCAACGAAGTAGATAATAGAGTGGACAGCGAGTGGATAAAGTGTTTAAAACTCCACAGCACTGCTGTGTCTGATCGACTCGTACTACACCACACACTAACACACCACCACCTCAGTATCACTGCCATGGTGAGAATGATCTACCACTCAAATAATATCTGCTCTGTGAGGGTCCTGTGGAGATACTGACCACTGAAGAACAGGGTATAAGGGGGCTAACAAAGTATATAGAGAAACAGATGGCCTACAGTCTGTAATTGAAGAACTACAAAGTGCACCTATATGGTACGTGGAGCTGATAAAATGGACAATGGGTGGAGAACCAAGGAGGTGGGGCTGATCATTGTATAATAATATTGTAACCTGGCAAAGAACTCCACACTTGTAAAATGTAGTTAGGTTAGAATTGGTACATCATCAAGAGGTGTGTTGCAGTAATATCCAGTTAAAATAAACTGCTTCTGTTTCTGTTCCTAATTGCAATTGATAAAATATTTCATTCAGCTGCATTTAGTTGGTCTTTTGGTTATTTATACTGAAGTGGGCTGATACTAGTAGTGTAAATCCACAAGAACCAGTTTTACGAAATGCACTTTGAGGCCTGCAGTTGAAGCGAGGGAAATAACATTCTGCATTAAAAGTAGGTTTGGGGAGCTGGTAACGCAAGCGCAATTTGGGACCATTGTGAGTTCGAAAATACCACTCTGTGGCAGATTTTCAGTGTCACACTCCAGCTGTGCTACTCCACCCACATGAGCGCAGGCCATCACTCCTGGCCAACAAAACAGCAACTGGGCGAGAACAAAAATATATTGGCTTATGCTCAACCAAATTACCAATACGTCGCATTAAACCACTAAGCATACTTGCAGCTGCATGAAAATAGAGCCCACTATTTTCATTCCAGTGACGGAATCAAAATCAAAATGTGAAAAAGACCATAGGACAGACTGAAGACAGGGAAAGTTGAAAGTTATGAAGCAGGAATGGACATAGGCACTGTAAAAAAAAAGCAATGCACTAAATTTACCTGACTTAAATAGAGACATAATTTCTACATCGATAAAATACATCAACACAATTTTGTTTAAGTTTGTATTTTATTCACGTGGAAATTATGTACACATTTGAATCAAGCAAATTCACCGCTTTTTTCAGTTTAATGTAATCCTTAAAATCTCACAGCAACGCGACAGCTGGAAGACCTTTTTGCCTTCATGGTTCATGGTATTATCCTTGGTTTCCAGCTTTTTACTCACCCACACAGGCCGTACCCTCATCATTGGGCTCATATCCCTGGTTACACCTCTTGTTGGCACGGCACTTGAAGCTACCATAGGTATTGGTACAGACAGGACGTTCAGGGGGACACACAGATGGGAACTGCGTACACTCATCTTGATCTGGGAGTTATAAGGGAGTACAGTGAAATGCAGGATTGCACACAGGGGGCTGAACAACTTCATAAGAGTACAACACTGATAACACAGTTCGGGGGGTATGCAAGACGACATTCCTTAAAGGGTATGAAGCTTACCAGTGCAACGGCCATTTTCATTGACAATAAATCCATGTCCACACTGCAGAACAATAAAAACCATTTTAAAGAACTACTCTGAAACAAATGTACAAAATATTCTCCTTAACCCAAATGTTCCCAATCAGCCCAAGACGTGTTTTGGTTTTGACATTTGCGTCTTTAGTTTTACAATGGATCTATGAGGCTAACGTAGCTAACAAATAATGAAAGCTCAGCATTGTGCAAACTGCATGCCTAAATCATTTGTAGGACAGCCCCAAACTATTTTACAGGCTTCAAACAAATTTTAAAACTGCAGTAAAACTTGGGTGACATGGATGCCTGGATTGATTTATGATGCATTCAACTAAACCAGATAAAATGTATTACATTTTAACGTGTCTGTAAATTACTAATAATTGTTCTTTCTAAAGGCCTTTGCTGATGAAATCTATTCTAGCTTAGATCATAATTTTTGTGGCTTAAAAACAACAAAGAAAGAAAAAGAGAAACAAACACGCTTAACAAACTTAAACAAATACTGGAGTATTCAAAGTATTCAGGCACGTTCTATACATTTGACTCAAAATGTGTTGAGTTGTTAAGAAATCTGAAATTATGTACATTATGCTTTTGTAGTTTCTGGCACTGTATAACAGTTATATAATATATAAAATTATATATATATATATATATATATATATATATATATATATATATATATATATATATATATATATATATATATATATATATATAAATTGGATAAAAGCATGAATACAATTCAAGTTTCAAGATCTGCTTCTCAAGCTATAAGCCATAGTTTCATCCTTTTATAGATAATGGTATGTCATATGGAAAGGGAAATTGTTTTTTATCCAAACCATCACTTTAATTAGTGCATAAAGTAGGTACTACCAGGGCTTGCCCACACCTCAATCTCAACTGCTGGAGTTTCTTCTTCCTCAGCCATCGGGTAAAAGATCTCCAATACTGTGTTCAGGTCACTGAGCTCCAATGGTCTGGCCACGGAGCGTCCATCAGGCCAGTACACCTCCACATTGGTGGCCACGTCTTTCCCTGTTGGTGAAGTACATGGTGAGGATGAGGGAAAAAAAAGCCTCTCAGCAGTTTGAGAACAGTCTGCCTTTGTAACTTCCCCTCAGGGTTGGGAGACACAATGAGTGATTTCTTCTCTTTATGTAAGGCTCTCAATGGAAAAATTCCACTCAGGAGAAAAGGCCTCCCAAGAAGCTCTTCGGCAAAAGCCAGGTTGGAGCAGGCCAGGGTTTGGCATGAGAGTTGCAGGCTCTTAACAAATGCACAGGAATGTGCTCGGCTGCAGCTGTGCACAGCACCGTGAGCACTAAGGCCTGAACATGTCTCAGATGGTGCCTCAGTCTCACTTGATACAGTGAGAGCAGGTCTCTCATGATTAACAGCGTATGAGAGAGCATAATGGGTTTGAGCCCACTGGCATAGCAGGTAGCATTCCATGGAGGTGCTCAACTCTGAGATGAACACGAACACTAAGACTCCTCTGCGTTAGAAGCCTGAAACATTTACGTATATTCAGTTAATGTTGACACATGCCACTGTACACCACCCAGACAGTCACTGCTGGGAATGCCACCAACAGAGGTTGGTTAGCTGGTCCAGCAGTTGGCATGGCAACACCAAAGACCTTGGCATTGTATGGTGATCACCATAGAGGCGGTCCAAAAGAAACAAACGCGGCAGAAGAGAGATGCAGAACTTCAAAGGGCCAGAGATGAGAAGGTAGAAGGGGGGCAAGCGGCTCCACTTTCCTTCTATTCCACTCTTTAGTCAAGCATGGAAAGAGGCTTTGAGGGCCTTCCCGGTCTTTAATTAAAGCACCATTTCTAAGGTAAACAGATCCACCAGGGCTCCTGCCAGGACTCAGCCTACCTCTACAGGTGCCCCTCATGAGAGAAAAGCTGACATTTCACCTGCAGTGGCTAAGGAAGACAGTTGGGCCAGGAGGATTACTATGCAGAATATCAATGTGGTCCATAAATAATCCACATTTAGCTCTCCCTTTTTCACATCCACTTCCCAGTTTATTAGGTACACCCACCTTGTATCTACATTCATTGGGTATTTCATCCAGTACACAGGCCATATGTGTACAGTTATTGAATGTAGCCCATCTGTTGCTACATAACTGTCAGCCATCCTTTCATCCATCAGTAGAAAGGAGCACCATAGAACCACTAATGGCCAGCTATTATTTGGGTGGTGGATCGTTCTCAGCATTGCAGTGGCACAGACATGGTAGTGGCATGTTCATGTGTAGGAGTGTGCTAGTACAAGTGTATCAAGAACAGCAGCTCAGCTAGGGTTTTTAAATACCTCAATGTGACTAGAGAGTCCATCAAGAATAAATGATAGTCCACCAACTAAAAATACCCAGCCAACAGAGGTCTTGTGGTCAGAAACTGACCTCTAATAAAGGGCTAGAATGTGACTAACGTGACTATTGACTATAAACTATAGTGACTCTTGAGGGTACACAGTGTGTAAAAACATGGTGCTCAGAATTGTCCACTACCCAAGTAATATCTGACCAGTGGTGGTCCTATGGGGTCAGGATTTAGAGTTAAACAGATGGCCAACAGATGGACTACAATCAACAACTGAAAACCTACAAATCCTACAAACGCCTGTAGCAGTGTGCAAAAGTCAGAGACCACCCTTTATGTATTTATTTATTATCCAGTCAAATTGGCCATTAAATACAAGTTATTTATGTTTCAGTGTTAGAAAAAAGCAGAAACTTTTTTTAAACAGAAAATTACGAGGAAGACTCAATAACTAAATATTATTTCATTTTTTCCAGTATTTAGTGTGTCAATCCTTTTCGAGAGAGTTCTGCAGGGATATTTTTCCACACTTCCAAAATTCAGTCTTCAGAAGTTGGTTGCATTTTCTGCTTCTCGTGATTTAATTAATTCCAAATACATTTAATGATGCTGGGGTCTGGACTCTGGGGTGGTCAGTCCATTGTTCTAAAAACTATAAGCAGATTCTTTGTTTGATTTATAACGTCTTGACAGCTACACATCTTTCCGACCCATACGGTTGGCTGTCTTCTCGCAGAAGGACGGAAACACGTGTGGATTTTTTTTTCAGATCTGAAGCAAGACTGGAGCTGTCCTATCTCTCAAAGATGAGAGCTTTAAGCACTATTTATCTGATGGTGAATGTTTTGGTGGTTTTGGTGGTCTACCAGGTCTTGCGCATGCTGTGCATACTGTGCAAACAATGAACTCTCAATTTCTCTATATGTTTTAATAAAATGCATCATAAACTTATTTTCTAATTTATCATAAATTAGTAAGTAAGTTTATGATGAACTAACTTTCTTCCCCCGCTCCCTCTAATTTCTCATAAACTAATTTATCATAAACTCTCCTCTTCCTTATGGAAACATTATCTTATTTCTATTCTCCTCAGAAACCTATTAGGAAATGAAATAATTAAAGGGTGATCTCTGACTTTTGCATCTTACTGTATGTCGCTACTGTCAGAAGAAAACCTTGTATCTCCATTTTTATTGTTTTTGAGTTTTTAACATAATTTGAAAATATCTGTTGCCCTTTACATTGTGTGTGAATTTCATGAGGAATGGACCAAAAGAAATGGCCCAAAAGGACTTGGAAAAAAGTCTGGTTCCATTGACTTACATTAAAAGTAAAGTAGGTTTTTTCTTTTTCCTGTGAAGTTATCATTTTGGAGATACAAGATTTTCTTCCAACAACAGCGATATGGTAGGTGTACCTGACGAAATGGACAGTGAGTGCAGGTATAAGACAATAAAGTGGCAGCTCAGTGTATAATGATTGCTCGATGATGAGTCAGAAAAGGAGGTTCCACATGACAAACCTTAGAAAATGTACAATCTACAGCTTTATTGTTAACAATCAAGGGGTCTAACCACTTGAAAGAACATGGAGTTAGTATTTCTCTTCTTAAGTCTCCTGGTGTGATTTGCTATTGTCTTTTAGCTGTGATACACACATTAGCGCTCCAATACTATATATACATGTCTGGCTGTACCCACAGACACGTACACACATATTTAAAGGCCCTCAGGGCGATCGTGTAACCACTGATGGAGAGCGTTTTGTTTTTCACAGCATATTTAGAACCATCCAGGCTTCCAACTGGCTCCCTAGCACTGCTACAAATCTGCCTGATGGCTCCCTGATGAGCTGCTGAAGCCATGCTCCGCAGAGCATCTGTAAGCGAGCCGTGCAGAGGGAGCAGGATCCCGTGCTGACCACCAGCTGCTACACCTGTACCCCAGCGTCCGCCTCGTCACCGACCTCCAATCAGTGAGGATATTGAAAACACTGACCTCGTCCTACAGGATTATATTACTGCTCTGTGATCGCACATGACACAAGCACCCTCACGGAACATAAGTTACATCATAGTGGGAATCAGCAGAGTGCATGTTTCATTCCTCACTGCGTACTTACAACTGCTGTTTGAAATCAGGGCTTGGATGCCTTCATAGCATAGCTGTTACATAAGATTTTGACAAGTGTACTGAGATTACATTTATTGCATTAGATATGAGCATATTTGTATTTTATATAAGCTGGTGTTCATATGTTATTATTGTAATTAATGATGATACAAAAGAATGCAAAGTGTCTTTCAGACCAACAAAGTATAGCAATATATAGTCTATATTTTTTATATAGTCATATTTTACATTTTTGATTAAAAGGAAAACCCAGGAATTCTGTTAAAAGGCCTACATTGTGCAAAAATCAAATTTCACCTGCATATCAGCCTATTCAGCCTACAGCAGTCTAGGTTCACCCATTCAGGTTGAAGTTATAAGGAGTGTTTCAGCCCATACCGCTTTCTGAATAAGGCCCAATATATGGCAACCAATTAGAACAGAGATCATTTACATGTATCGGTCTTAAAGCCACAGTAACAAAAACAGCCTATTTTAATTCTGAGGGATAAAGAGAAGTTAGAAAATGGTCATAAAAACTGAATTGTGACTTTTTTTGACACACAAACATCATAGGTGGACCTCAAGGAAAAAATTCAATGCAAGAAAAATGTAGGATATGGGCCGTTTAAGCTGATTTAAATCTTACACCTAGGACACTAACCTTTCGGGGTCTCTTTTTCAAGCTGTTTAAAACTTAAAGATTTTGAAGTCGAAATATGGCACATACCAAGCCCAAAGTGAGCTACGGGTTCCATCTCACACAGGTAACCAGAGCCACCATCAATGATGCGTGTGTGAGCGCCATTTCTTTTCGTGTAGACCACCACTTTGGCCCCTCGAGCAAAAGCCCCAAACTGCGTGCGAGGAATCACACGCAGCCATCTGTTAGATGATCCCTGTGAGGACACAGAAACACCATGAGAAGGTCTGAAGAGAATTTCTGGAATCAATGATGATAAATCCCATTGAGATGATAAAAATGTGGAAACTGGATTTTCAAATGAATAATTAATTTGAAACAGAAAAAGAAACATACACAGCAACCTCACAGAAATAAATGGCTTTCCAAATTGAGTACTGAATGGTTATTCTTTTGCATCATTTACATGAGCACCTGAACCACATTAAAAATCCATCTGCAAATTCTCCCCTCATTAGCAGCTTGTTCCATGAGTTGTGAAGGTGTCAGTCAGAGGAGTACCTGGACGACTCTATACACAGAGATGGGCTGGGCTGCACTCTCTCCATGCGTTACCAGCAGATCTAACTGTCCATCTCCATCAAAATCAGTCACGGCAGCTCCTACGAGACAAATACACAAACTCTTCAGACGCGGAACAAGGCCCGGTGTCTCGTCCCTGCAATGGAAGATTTTGTTCTTTCGATGTGCTCAACATGCTCAATAAATCAGAAATGTAATGAAGTACTACGTGATTTGAATTATTCATTTTGGTGAATATTTTACAAGACAGATAGCTCTCCAAATTAAAATACACAGAGCAAATAATTGGGAGGAAAAGGTCAGTCATTCATGTAATTCTTGCTAACCCACTGAGTCTCCATAAATGACTTACCCTGAACACACTTATACTGAAGAGACCCTAAATTTACACCTTAAATGACCTTACTTCACATAATGATGACTCAGTTTTAAAAACAATTACCTCTGTTTTTGTGATTTTCAGTTTTCTGCATAATTTGAGCTCAGCAATATTTACACAATGTAACAGAGGCTTCTTACATCGTGTGAAAGTTTCATGATGAATGGACCAATAGAAATGCTCCAAAATTCCATGGAATAAAATCACTTTACATTAACTTACATCAAAATTTAAAAACTTCTTGCCCTCTCCTTTAAAGTTACCATTTTGGAAATACTTGTTTTTCATTTCATTTATGATTATCACAATTATAGCTGAACTAGAGTCATACAGTTTGACTATAAACAGCAGGAAGACACCACAGTAGACCTCTAATGCCACCCAGTGGTAAAGAAAGCACATGAATCTGTGCTTGGGATGTTTAAATTATAAAGGTTGAGTCTATATAATGCATACATTTGCTAATAATAAACAAACACCAACACTGTGGTTTATACCACAATAGCCATGAAAGATCACATAGTTGTGGAAAGTTTCTGGAAAGAAATGTGCAGAAAAGAAGTCTCTAAAACACTTGTTTCAAAAGATTACATAACATTATGCAACTGAATGGGTACATGTTTTAAATCATCACCCAATCCAAAAACAGCAGGGTATAATTATTGAACAAATATTCATAGAGTCGTTGAGCCAAAGACACATACCTGTTCCCCTCCCTTCTGGCTCAGCTGCCTCCCCAATATTCAGCTCCTCTATCTGCGGGTCTCCATGTTCTCTTCGGGACACCCTGCCAGAGCACTTAGCTATTACATTCACTGTCCTTTCACTTCAAACAACTCAACACCACAAAGCAATATTTGTATGCTTCCATGTCAAATATATTTCATTTTCTTTTCTTTTTTGTTCAATCACTTGTTATATAACAGGTCTCACTGGTAGTATTCCTTTACAAGCTTGCCTTTGGTAAATGAATCCTGCTATGCTGATTTAATTAATGAAGTTTGAGAATGGACTACGTATTTGTATGCCAGACAGGCTTTTTCAGTAATAAAATTAAGCCAATGGTTACATTAATTAGATTAAGTGAGCTACTCCATGTGCTTGTAGAAAGCGGAGGTCATTTAGCAAGGTTTGTGTATGGGCCTGAGAGGGATATGTTCTTTGCCTAGATCCAATATTATCTTTATGGGAAGAGGGAAAAAGGACCTAGGAATGGGGAAAGGAGGGGATTTCCCATCAGGTAGCGCTCCAGGTTAGAATGGAATGGAATGGTGCTGGACTGTGAGTTTGTGGCCTGGCTGCAGGACCTTTTGGCTAACTGTCCCGTCTAGCTTTACTCATAAATCCATAACAAGACAGGGTGTTTCCATAATTATTTCCTGCCTTAAAGAATCGTTTTGGGTTATATAATGTTTTTTGGCTGTGCTTTGTTTCTGTGTCCATTTTACCTGAAAGATTCTGATCAGATATGAAAATGAAAGTTTAATTTGTCCAGGAACACTTAACATTTAAAACTAAATAGCAAGTTTATTTTTCTCAGCTTCGATTAAGCTACTGAGACCTGAGGTGAGGTCCTCATAGTTTATGTAATTTACCTAAATAGCCTGTTTGCTGATGCCCCTCTGTATGCAATGTTGTTGAAAAAGACCTCCAGCTCGTTGTCGTTGTCGAAGTCTGCCACAATGACCGTACGCACAGGAGACGGCATGGAAAACTTCTGCGAGGCGATGTCCTGAGACACACACAAGGATATCAGCATATCAAAGGCTGCGCATACAACTTAATCAGACTTTCATCTATTCAGTGTGAAAGGAGCAAGAATGAGGTTAGAGCAGATAGTGAGAAATGCACTACATTTCCTCTGACAACTGAGAGAGAAAAAGTTAAACAAGTACATCTTATGTGCATCCTTAACCTGGATAAGTAAATAAATAATGAATGATGTCATCACTGAGGGGTAAATCTGTAGGTAAATCTTATAGGCCAGAGACCTGGCTGCAGCAGGAAGTAACTGATATCTCCATGCTTCAGTGGTGCAGCAATAAGTCCAGGAAGAGTTATAGAGCAGCCCTGTACTCCCTCAAGTATTTACCCCTCATTTTAATTATAAGGCTCATAAAGTCTGCTCAAGGAGTCCCACACAGTGACCTTGTCCTCTCTGGGTGAAGGAGAGGCGATGGACAGTTCTGGACAAGGCTCACACAAGGGAGGGAAGGAGCGAAAGCGAAATTAAAGTGAAGCTTTCTTAGGTTCTGCTTCGGTCATTGTGGTACTATGACTCCCATATGCTAAAGAGAGCATTAAGCTGTCAAGTCTACATTTTCTTATTACAATCCTGATAGTGAAGCACTGCTGACATTGCAGCACTGTCTTTTCTTAATCTTAGAAGTAACAGTCATAGTCAGCAATAACAAAAGCATAGTGCTGTATTAATCATTTCTTACTTGTAGAATTTTCAAAGATTCTGCACTGTTCAATCATTAGGATATAAACAAAGTCATTCGGAGTGGTTTAATGTGAAATAATCTGTCCCATAGAAACTTACAAAGTCAGAATTGTTTACAGTGGTGGTGATAGGAACTGGACGTCTGAAGTTTGACGCCTCTAAAAGCTACCCTTCCAAAAGCTGTTGCACAACTGGTTATGATTACGTTGTCTGATGATCAAGATGTTTCTATAGAAGTTTTGCGATTTTTCACTAAAACATTTTTTAAAAATCCACTCCTGGTGGAGAGGTTCATGCAGGGTGTTCTAGAGCAAAAGAGTCACCAAAGAAAACCACCAAAGAATTTACCAACATTTGGTAGCTTTGTCAGCATGATAAAAACTGAAGATATCTGTAGGTTCACTAGTGGTTTTGGATAGTAAATAAAATGGCTATATTTGCACTAAAGACACTGTGGTTCCTAGGACCACCACTGTAATGTAAATATGAGTCAGTATGAGTCTCCACAATAAACATTTTTACACGAAACCACTCTGAATTACTTTGTTTGCATTTGAAAAAACAGTGGAATTCCCCATTGGAAACAAGCAAATAAATGATGTCAAAAGTGCCAATCCTAATCTGGATTATTAAGTATAAGAGGAGATATTTTATTAAGATTTGAAATTCTCATTTTACATTTGTGCCATGTTTTTGTTAATTTAGATTGTTTTAAGAAAGAAATTGACTCAAACCTATCAATACAGAAACTAAACTGAATGGAAATGTAATTCATTATGTAATTACTTATGCAATTAATTATGTAATTGTTTTCATGATATTAAATATAGAGGCCAAATGACAGCAATAACTGTAAACTTTTAAGAGTTAATGTGTGAAACTGGCTTGTATTGCCCAAATGTGCACTTTTTTGTGCCTAAGTGGACCATAGTTGCTTGTACAGATTTAATTAGCAATTCACTGAAGTGACAGAACCTCTTAATTATAGATGGCACAGGTCACAGGAGCTAGCAGTGCGTTTCAGCTGCAGACGCCTTTCTACAAGTGCTCCCACAGGACATTAACCCAGCATGTGACCCCCATAAAACACCTCCCTGCTGACATTTATCTATGTGGACACCAAAAAAATAATCACTAACCATAACATCAAAAAGATGCCAAGACAGCTAAAGCCACAGCAGGTTTACATCATACTGTTCCACACAAAACCTACGTTTCTTTTAATTCTAACTGACTTCATACACTGAGCTTGGATATGCCTACTTCAAACACCCATGCTGCAGAATTAAAGATCAAGCAAATAACTTCACTTAATTTCTCCAACAGCTTGTGCTGGATCAATCTTGCACTGTATAGTAGCCATTGATTTTGGCATGAATACAAACTATTTAACTTGCCAGTTTCTTGGAGAATGCTTATAGCTATATTGATGCAGACAAGTTTAATATGCTGCAGAGTAATATGGAATGTGGCTATAGCTGAGTATTGACAATGTAGTTACATTGAAAGAGCCATATTACAAGCAGCAGTTATGAGCAATGAAATGTTTGCAGGTAGCATTAGTTACCCTAGAATTAGGTAACACAGCATCCAAGTTTCATAAAAGACCACAATAGGTGAAGAGGAGCACTTACATCAGTATAAGGTAAAGCATGGTCCACAGTCCCCTAAATACTCATAAATTTATTAAGCAATTTTTTGGCCTAGTTGGTCTTCTTTAGGGCAAAAGAAAAGCAACACTGACAGATAAATACATTTAAAGGCATTTAAAGGTATGATCTGTACTTTACCTTATACTGATATGAGTGCTCGCTGTACCTATTGTGGTGTTTTTGTTTTGTTAAGTAAAAGGAGATTTTGGGGTCAGGCACCAAATTGGATTTCATATCCAATTTGCTGGCTACTTTAGAGTTAGAGTTTCTTCCTAAGTCTTTCAGACACAGATCAAACCTACTTCTAAAATAAAACAAGTTTAACAAAAAGAATTTAGTATTATTTAATATTTAACTCAGTCATTCTGATTCTGAGACCAGGCTTAATCTTTACTCAAGAATACAGACGTGCATTTTGATTGGTTAAATAAATTAGATGTAATTAAGTATGACTGTGTCAGTAGCTGTACTGTGGTCATAACAATGCCCCCAAGCACAGTCATGGGTATGGAGGGCAATCACTCCTCCATCAGCACTTTCTCCTCCAGCCTCAGTATAATCAACACTGGCCCAATCTGCCAAGTAATCATCAGGGACCATAAAACCAGGCGTGGATGCAGTAGCTATGTTTGTCTCAAGAAGAGTGATGAGGTGTTTAGAAAAAAATAACGATGAGAACATTTCACCAAAAAACAGACGGCTCAGACAAATGCTGAGTCACTTCTCCAAAATTCTGCACAATGTGTGATACAAGGCATTTTCTAAATTTATAAAAGTTCTTCAGATAGACATCGTACAGTCAGTTTGATGTCTAATTGAGAATCAATGAGAAATCATTTTCCAAGCTGATTATTATTAGTAAGCAATGGCATTTTTTTTAAATACTAAACTAGTAGTTCTAAGGTAATTTATCTGGTTTAGGGATTTAAATCTCTAATCATGCTGAAAACAAAGGAATGTAGCAGCTACCATTAACATTAAATGTAATACATCAAAATGGCTAAAATGTTTATTTATGAATAATTCTGTTGCTGGAAATTCCTAGAAAAGGTCAACAAAATCTCAAAGTGTCAAAGCAATTTACTGATATTTAGCAAATAATATATTGTTATATTTTGATATTTTGTTTGTCACTCAACTTAAGAAACGTATGAGGTAGGGTTGAGTAAACGACATCACAGGACACGAGCAGTATCATCAAGTTATCAGCCCCTGGGCACAGACATTTGGTGGGCCCCTATCTGGCGACCTATTTTTTAGTGGTCAGTGAGTTTTTTTTTTTTTTAATTTATGAGCAGGTTACACAAGGTCTATCCAGCACCACGATGACAGCCCACTAACCTCAGTGTCAGGCACATGATTGCTATAAGCTAATTTTTTTTTTTCTAATTGAGACAAACAGTAGTAAGATTATGCTCCCACATTAATGAGAGCACAGGTTAACACAAACAACCAAGGCACCACTTCACTACAAAGCATGCATCCCTAAAAACATTGACCACAATTAAGAAGACATAAAATCAGACAGCTGAAATGTACATAACCATAAAGTATACTGCTGTGGCAGGCATTTACTTTTTTTCCCATTTATGTCTTACCTCTGATGACAGTTTGCAGACCACTGTCAACAAGGATGTGGCAACTTTTTTTTTCTTTAACTTGAGTGGCTGATATTTTATATTTGGCTTTGGAAATGGGCATCCTCTACTCTGTGGAAGTATCAGGCCTCTCTTTTACACATTCTCCACGCACATCTTTTGAATGTCTGGAGCTCACTCACACATATTTGAGATGGCCTGAGCAGGCTGTACTGACACCTAACAACTGACAGAAGCAATGTGATACATTTAAATTGTATGTTTAAAAACAGTAAATTACAATATACACTTCATGACATTTCATTACAAACTCTGGTGCTGCAGCATCGTGGCACTTGTGGCTGTTTCCACCGCTTTTAAAATTTTTTTTAAGCTATGTGTGTCTGTGGGAGATCGAAGGTCTTCAAGGTTACACCAACTGTATCCTTTGAGACTATTTCTTGGCCACATTCAAAGGATTTTACAAAATCAAACAGTCTTCAAATGGTCAAAAATACAGACATCCTTGGCTGCATCCTTAGCTTTTTAGATGCGGCTAATGTCAAATCATTAAATTTCTTTTCACTGTGCCGCTAGTAAAGTTCCCACCATGAGTCAAAATAGCTGTCTATATTGTCTCAAAATTGCTCACTTCTCCTAGAGACCCCTGGGCATGTGCCGTAAAACCATGGGATGATCTGGGCCTGGACCTGAGGTATGCATTTAAGGGTAAGAAGATTTTTTTTAGGCTTCAGAGATATAGAAGGCAGCGTCCAAATTAGAGCCAAGGACAAAGTAAGTACAAAAAGCTTTCGAAGAAACAGCCAGAAATCACTATGTAGGCACATGACCATGGATACAGATATCAACAAACCTTAAACTCACCTTGAATCTCTGTTTGCGGTTGTTGCTTAATTGCAGGAAGAGCCGATGTGGCCCATTCCAGTTTCCATACACAATATCTGTCCTCCCATCACGATTAAAATCTGCTAAAGCCACCCCTCGGCCATGCTGCATTGGGTCCTCAACTCCTGTAACAAGCATATGTCATCCTTTACAAAGCTGGGTTAAACTTACAAGCAGTATATAAAATATATGGCATCTACCTAAGCCCTTAATTACAGCTAACATAAACTTATATAAATATTTTTACAGGAGTAATCTTACAAGTCTCTGATCATGTAGCATCTCCTGAGACCAAGGAGGTAAGTCACACTCCAGGATGTGGCAACTTTTATTTTTTCAACAATCAAATTGAACCATAATCTGAATATTACAGCACAATATTTGTTAAATTCTGTTCAAGTTTTCAATCGTTTCTCACGTTAAACAATATATGGTTTGTCTGTGTACGACATACAAACAACATAAGAATGTCACATAAATCAGTATATCTGCTCATATCCCTCCTATCTGCATTCTGATCACATTACTGTTTAGGCCAGTTAGTCTTAAACCAGTGGATGTGGTACCAGGGAGGTCAATAGAATGGTGCTATGAAGATATATACCTCATAAAATACATAGAAAATAATTTTGACAAGTGGCTGGCAAAAAAGCCATGTCATGTAAATGAGACTGAACACAAGAACATGAAAAATGAACTTGTTAAATTTCGCTTCGCACTGAGGTGGTCTTTAACTCTGTAAATTTGTGAACCTTGTGAGCGTCAGCCATTAGAAAACAAAAACTGCTGTTTTATGCTGAAACAATAAAGTAAATAGAAAATAGTAAAAAGTACACACAGTATCTATTTAGCTAAGTTTAGTTAGCCAGTCTGGCCACTGCTGGTTCCTCAGGCTGGAAGTTGAGTTGTAAAAAAGCAGAGATTGACAGGTTTTGGTTTGGGGAACGTTTGGCAGCTGGTAATAATGCTATTTTTGTTCAGTACATTTAAAAAGAGAAGATGACATTTTGAACATAGTACGTTCCTCATGTGTTGGTAAAACAGAAAACTGTTCTTTCTCCACTAAACTTAACACCTCTACAATCATCAACATTTAAGAGTTTTGTGGCTGGGAGCTGCTAATTTCTTTCTTCAAATTGGTTTATGAGCTGAAACACACGCTTGTTTCTACTCTGTAACATTATTAAAATTTAAAGCAGCAAAAAAGTTCTTTATTACAAATGAACTCAAGAAAAACTACTATGATTTAATTCTACTCAAAAAAGTACCATTACACGAAAATATTTACTCAAGAGCTGTAACGACAGTCAATTTCATTTAATGTTTTTCCACTTCTTGTTATATTTTGACAGTTTCTGACATAACAGTATTTCAGTATATTTCTTTTTTGTGGTAGTGTATTTCTGATAGTGTTTCATTTTTTTAAGTGATATAATGCTTTTTTAGCTCTACATTACACTGTCTACATTATCCGACATAGGTGTTATATCAACTTCATATCAAAATGGACAAAAGCTGTTTTATGACAGCTGACATCAGTTGAAATATTGATGCAGGTTTGGTCATGACAGGCTTATGAAGGTGTTAATAGGTCAGTAATTTGCTATCAAATATTGCAACTGGTAAGCTGGAGATGTATCAGTGTACATGATGACGATAAGAAAATGATTCCTTTTTCAGCTCACCTGCCTGTGCAGCCACATCTGTAAATGTCCCATTTCCGTTGTTGCGGAAGAGAAAGTTGGAGCTGTACTCATTGTCACAGAATATGTCGGGGAGGGTGTGGCTCAGGATGGGCCCCACCACAACCCCCCGTCCCCCTACAGCACACAGCAGAGATATCACCATCACCAAAAGCAATGTGCAATCATTGCTGCCTTTCCAGGCCATTTCTCTGTGCAGGCACTCCACTGTTTCTGCTGACACACACACACACACACACACACACACACACACACTGCCTGCCTACAGTCACATTACAGAGAGCACAAACAGTTACAGCATCTACACACTGCACACATCTCACTCTACTGCTCCAGCACCTCATAAACATGACTAAGAATCTGAACGTGTAAACCCGATTTGAGCATTTCTGCTGTAACAAGTCAAACATATTTAAAATTAGCAGAGTTTTCTTGCACGAAACAGTTAACACAATATTTACACCGTTACTTGACAAAGGCTTTTCACCTATCCAAAGCAGGAAAACCACATAACAGAGCATCTGTTTACATTAGGGATCAACAAATATGCAAATGTTGAGAGTGATACAACACTGTTTTTGAGTTATTCACAATGAATCTGAAATCAATAATTGTATATGGTCAAAATGGTATGGTATAGGCTCCAATTCTTTAGTTAAACACTGCTGTACTGATATGATTGTCACTTGCCTACTGGGAACTGTCAAATATTGCTGTCAGTTCTTAATGTTACATTTTTTAAAACTAATAAACATTTTTAAACTCACAAAGTTTTCTGTAAAAGAAACATTTTAAATAATGGGGAGACCAGGGAGGGTTGAAGCATAGGGTACATTGTCATACCTCCAGTTTAATGGATTAGAAATAAGCCACAGGGGTGATAGTGTTACTGTGCACATCACATAAAGACTTGATGGTTTATGTAACAAAATCCAATTTTGGGGTAAGACAGCAAAATTCACATTCTGGGTTACACTCATATTAACGAAGGTTGAATGCCCTGACTGATACAGTCTAAATAAGCAGTGTCTTGTGTTTAATTTGCTGTGTAAAAGGTATGCTATTTTTAAACATACATGCTAAAAAATCTAGCAATATCACGAGTGACGAGGCATGGGTGGGTTGTAAAATACAAAGAACAATAGGCCCACTCATATTTCTGACATTAACCCACTACAGTAAGCTGGGGCAGGTTGTAACTATGAATCTTTTTGTATTTGAAGCAAATGATTTGTGGATAAGCAGTAGATTTCTTTTCTATTGCTATTCGTAAAACAAATTACTACTTTTTTTTTACAAATAGCAATAGAAAAGAAATAGTATAGGAAGGTATAGCAGAAAGGTATAGCAGCAGAAAAAAAAGTTACAGAGGCTGAGACAAAAAGTGCTACAACTGCTTCTTGGTCTTTCCTAAATATTTTAGCACATAGGGTGGAGCTTCCTGTTTTCTTATTGTTAATAGTACTTTTCAAATAAAGTGCTTTGTGTCCTACCATGTCCTGTTATCCTCATGCTAAAGGTTAGGTTTTACGTGTTTGGTTTTTTTTCAACAATGATAGGTGTTTGTGTTCAGGTTTATCCCTTCAGCCTATATTGCTGTGAAATACAGTCAGGTCCATACATATATGGACGTCAACAAGATTACTGTTATTTTAGCTGTCTAACACAACAGTGAATATGAGCTCAAAGTGCTGACTTTCAGCTTCAATATGAGGGTATTTACATCCAAATTGGGTAAACAGAATCATAAATTTGTGACTAACAGAATTTGCAGTCAACGACTGCCTGTAGTCTAGAATCCGTGAACATCAGACACTTGGTTTCCTTCTCTGGTGATGCTCTGCCAGGCCTTTACTGCAGCTGTCTTCAGTTACTGCTTGTTCTTGGGCCATTTCACCTTTTCTAATACAAGTTTTGCCCTGAGTAAGTGAAATGCATGCTCAATTAGATTTGAATCAGGAGTCTAACTTTACCATTGCAATACATTCCACTTCTCTGCTCTTGGGATGTTTCTTTGGGTATGCTTCGGGTCATTGTCCATCTGCACTGTTAAATATATATAGCCCTATACACTCAAAAATTCATCCTGCTCCTTTTTTTCAGCAGTCACATCATCAATAAATACAAGGGAACCAGATCCACTGGCAGCCATGCATGCCCACACCACAACACTTCCTCCACCATGCTCAACAGATGAGGTGGTATGCTTTGGATCATGAACAGTACCTTCACTTCTCCAGACTCTTCTCTTACCATTATTCTGGTACAAACTGATCTTTGCTTCCATAAGATGTTCCAGAAATGTACACGCTTTTTTAGATTTTTTTGGCAATCTCTAATCTGGTGTTTCTGTTTTTGAGGCTTATTGATGGTTTACATCTTGTGGTAAACCCTCTGTATTTGCTCTGGTGAAATCCTCTCTTGATTGTTGACTTTGACACAGATAAACCTGCCTCCTAGAGGGTGTTCTTGATTTGGTTAACTGTAGTGAAAGGGTTTTTCTTCACCAGGGAAAAAAATTCTTCTGTCATCCATCACAGTCGTTTTCCATGACCTGTCTTCCTGGCCATGACTGTAGTATGCTGTGGTAGACAGCTAAAATAGCAATAACTTTGTTGCCATCTAATTGTTTATGGACCTGACTGTAGATGAGCAGTTTCTATTAATACTGACACAAAGCGCATACGATCAATGAAATCCTCACAGATTATTATTTTTCCTTTTATTAGGCTTATTTGTCCATTACGATATATCAGTTTTATAGCTGATATCAATATCAATGTGTAACCTTAATATTGACTGACTTCATCAGCCAAACAATATATCAGCCAGGACTTGATTTCCCTGCACTAAAACATTTCAAATGAGCCTCCTTCTAAAGGGAACTCCAGGATTTTCTTCTTTATGACCTTCTTTCAGCAACATTCTCTACTCCATCTCCCTCTGTCCCAGTGCCCAGCCTTCCACAAGCGTGCTTCCACTGAAAGAGCGCTGAATGGGGGATCAAAGCGCACTTCACAGTGTACACTGATTAATGGAATGTTTGGCCCATTGAGCAAGTCTGAGTTGAAATATGGCTCTGTCGTCCTTGTGCCTCCCTATGACTTTCACCGTAGTAAACAGCTGAGTGGGCCAAAAGCTGCCTCTCTCCTGCGGCAGCGCTGCCTCCCAGGCCCCCTGCTCTCTCTATTAGGGCTGCTTTAGCCGATAAACACTGTCCATAACTCAGTGACGCGCAGCTGATATGAGCTCTGGGCTCTGGTGTAAATCAGCCACTGGGCAAAGCACACTGCTCCCTCAGCCAGCTGCTTTTAGAGGGTCTCCAGTAATGGATAACCCTCTCTCACACACACGAATGCCTATACACACCTGTAAATTTGTTGACCCCAGCCTGCTCCGCCACATTGGAAAGGGCAACAATCCCTTTGGACAGGTCACTGGCACTCTCGTCCATTTCAATCAGAGCGTGTGGCCCCACGCTGCCACTGGCATAATTGGCAATGTAGATGGCATAACGTCCTGTTCCCTGAGACAGAGGAGAAGACAATAACAAAAATAGCCAGATCAGAGAGCATTCCAGTACAGATCAGTAGAAAAAAAAATAATAATAAATATATCAGTAAAAACACCTTAAAACATACATATACGCTAGAACAAAAAATAATCAAATTGCCTGACAAAATTGTTTAATACAGATGCATGAGAAATACATTAGAAATACATGGAAAAAGCCATTTAAATTGGATGACAAATTGCCTTCAGAGTGTGTATTATGGGTGGTAAAAATAATAATTTCTTGGAGGCACTGCAAAAAAAAACAAGTCTGCATCGATGCACTCAACGTCATAATCAGACCTTTTTATACAGTAGTGTTCAAAAGTTACACCAGCTACAACTCTACAAATTCAGAGATTTACACTAATTTGTAGGAAAATAAGTCCAGAATGACGAACAGAGCTGTAGATGGTTCCTTAATGACTGTTTCATTTCATTTATGCAATTTCCAGTCTAAACGGCCATTAAGTACAAGTCATTAATTTCTTAGCATCAGGACAAAAAAAGCAGAAAACATATTTAACAGAAAATTATGCTGAAGCCTAAGCATAATTTTTTTATTTTTACACACCTCCAAAGTTCAGTCTTGGTTGCTTCTTCTGCTTCTCACAAACCAAGTAATCTAAGTTACAAAGTTAGGTTCATCAGTCCACAAAGCCTTACTACATATCTCAAATGTGTCAGGTGTGGTACTCCACTGCAAATGTTATTTCACTGGCTTCTCGGCTGCTACACACCCTTTAACCTTTCAGACCTATAGAGTTGAGTTGTGTTCTCACAGTGGAAGGACAGACAGAAACACTTTGAGGGTCTATCAAATCTTGCATGACTATGAGAAGTCCCATTTTCTCTGTGTCTTTGAGTAATTTTTTTAACTCTAGTTTTGGAAAGTTTTTTCCTTATTTTCCTTTGACTTTCCTCTTCCTTACGCAAGTGAATTATCTTACATCTAATCTTCTCAGAAATATCTCCTTTAGCCATTTTAGATGTCCATGAGAAAGAAATTTGCAAGGCAGCTAAGGTGTGTTCGGGTAGAGGCTTGAGTGAATGTCTCTTTGAAAGGGAACATAATGTCAGTGACTGCGAACCTAGCACACGACGAACAGGGGTGGACAAAGTGGACAAGAGATGGACAAATACTTCTGTACTTTAGTAAAAGTAGAGCAAAGTAAAAGTACTTTGATTTATTACAGATCTTGTATAGTATTATTTTGTTGAACAAGGTCTACAGATAAAACAAAAAAAATCTCCTTAACAGACCTTGAAGGGGACAAAAGCCCTCAGATCTTTGAGCACATCAGTACAGATCAGCAAATGTGCACAGGAAATGAAAAAGAAAAAATTACTGAGTTACAAAAATACTTATTGTGCACATATCAGGTTAAAAGATTTTCATCACTGCACAAAATCAGAACACATGATTGTGCTGTTACAAAACACAGCATGTTTACAGCCATTTCCAAATGCTAACTACTACCTCATTGGACTCTGCTGCCTTCATCTCCCTAGTCTCAGAACTCCCTCCCTCCTCTTTCCCCGCACTTTGCAGCACCCACCCCGTGGATATTAATTTCACACCCCATTATCAGACAGAGTCCCTGTGGGCATGAACTCAGTGAAGGAGCCACGTAAATGAACTTACGCACACAGTTTCAATGAAGTCTCCCGCGATCCCTGCGTTTCCACACAGGCAAATGATGAAATAAAGAAATGTATCCATAAGTACATAAATACCACCACCTAGTGCCTGCAGTCCTAATGAGGCGTAAGAATGTAAATGTCAAACACATTACGCTGCTCCATGCACTCCACCGATACCTCAACTCAGGTCAACACAAACAGCTAAAAATAAGGGGTTAAAATAATATGTTGTGTGCTCCAAATACTTCAGGCCGTCTTGAATTTAAATGTTAGTCAGCTGTAATTTAGTTGTAAATTATGGCATCTAAGGGATCTTTATTCTGACATTTTTCTTTTATTTTAGAAAGAGGTGCCACAATATCTTTTTGTTTCTGATACCGATACTGAGACTTGAGTATTGGTTGATGTCGATACTGACAGTATTTTTTCCTCTTAAAAACTGTTCTAAAATGAGTTATTTTTAATTTAAGTATTTTACATTCAACGGCCATCTAAAAATACATTGCTCAAACTGTTCAGACACTTTCCTGCCCTAAAGAAACACTTACACAAAAGACTTGCAGTTTAACACATTCACAAAAAAAGAGGAAAAAAACCCTGAAAAATCAGATGCAAATGTATGCACCATAACACTAGTTAAAAACGTACTGGATTTGTTCTTTTTTCCTCTTATATCCAATCCAGAATTTTCCTCCCATATTTGAACCAGCTGATATCGGCCCAGTACCAATATTGGGTATTGGATCGACGCCATCTCTAATTTTAATATATCAGATAAGTGGAAATGGGCAAAGACAGGAAGATTAGTTTGGGAAGGTTAGGAGTTTAACTATATCTCCAACTCAGTTCCTTAAGTACTGCAGTCCAGTGGCCTGAAGGGGTCTCTCCATCTCCTTGAGGCCAGAAAATGGCTACTTTTTACCTCCACACTTTATTACATTGCCATTAAGTCTGGGAAAAAAAGCCAGTCCTCTGCCAGTTAAATGCTACTACTTTGCTCTAATGTCTTCTGCGTCTGTTGGGAAGGGTTCCAGAGGCAGCCATAAGCCCATGGATAATTACCAGCCCATGCAGATAGAAGTGAGCAAGGGCCAATCTATCTCCCCTTCAGGAGCAGGTCAATACATCTCCCTGTCCACCTTTAAGAGACAAATGACAGCACTTCATTTTCAAGGAGAACCCAATATTAAAAAATGCATTTGAATATTAGCTGTCCCTCACATTGATGGGAATCTATGGACAAATAGGACAAGCGCTCTATGAGCTTTAGCACACAATATCTCAGTCGTTGTCATTTTAGGCTATGACCTTGCACCACGGTAACTTCTAAAAGAGACAAGAGAAACATTCTCTCTGTATTAGAAGTTCATTTCAATTTCCCAGAGTATCTCTGAAATGGGCCTTGATGCAACAAAATGATGAAGTGTTTTTTCCCCACTTCATTTAAACCCGGACCCTACACATTTGTGTTTTGTTTCACTTCAACACCATCTCCCCAGCCGGGCTAAATCACTTACACAAGGCTGTAGAACAGCATCCTCTTATTGCTCAGTCAAATGAAGCTGCAGTCAAAAAATCTATTTCAATCCCTCGCCTGCTGCTCCACAGGATAAGTGGACATCGTTCATTGCTGACTGCAGTGGAGAGCAGTGTGGAAGCCAGAAATATGAAGCTCAGGTTCAGCTATAGTATTTCGGCTATCACCCAAAACCTTTTTCATGATAGGCAATCTATCATGTCCTCTCTGATTAGGTATCAGGGCAGCTCTGATGCTGGCATGTACAGTTGTGATAATTCACCTGCACAGAGGCAAATTAGGGCAATATGTCTCTCCTTGCATGTCTCTCTACAAAAAACAAATGAGGCCTTGCCTGTTCTAATTATCATGCCACAGGACACACTGTCAGAGACAAATATCATAGCTCTCCACAAATGGACTGTCATAGAGGCAGGCTGGCAGAGGCGGGACGCAACAGGCCTGCTGAGTTATAGCTAGTGAAACCTGTGATCTCCTCTGGGTGAAACATGAAGACAGTAATGGAGTGTAAAATGTCACCTAACAGTCTGCCCAACTCACTCCCCCTCAGAAGCAACACCCAGCACTGGCCATTCCCCTGTCCAGCTGCAGATCAATACACACATTTGGCTCTCCCACACCAGCTCTGTTCCAGATCAGAGGTTCCACAGAAATGAGGTGTAAAGCTTCTTTTCTTTCAGTGTTCAAACACAAGAGCTAAACCAAAGGTTTAGGACTTTCCAGGTTGGCAAAGAGCAATGGCAGAGTCCATCTGAGAGATTCATCAAGGGAGATTTGGTGAGGTGCTGTTACCTTTCTGTCCACACAAGCGACTGATCGACCTGCCATGCGATTGGCCACGTCTCTGTGTTCATTTATCTCATCGTTCAGCAGATCCTCGAAACGTCCATTGCGAAACTTGAAAAGCTTATCCGTGTAAGTTGCTCGACCTGGTCAAAGGAGAAAATATGAAAAAGATGAACAGCATTTTCCTCTATTTCAGTGAGAACCGTTTTGACACAGAAATAACTGCAGTTAATTTACTTGATTGAAACCATTCCTGCGTTTATTCACTTCCAACTTAATGGCAAATGTAAGTAAATTGACGGATGAACCTGCATTGATGTATCTTTTTCATATGGAAATGATGTACATGTTTGATTCAATTAAATTCAGTACATTACTTCAAGTCAGAGAATGTACACTTAGTTTTGTCACTTCAAAACTTGAGTTTGTGTCTTTCTGTGAGAGTATTCACAAAGTAAGTACCTGAGAAAGCATTATTGGTGTTGAGAACATAGATCTCTTCTCTTCCGTCACCATCTATGTCACACGCTGTCACTCCAATTGCATTTCCTTGCCGATCTCTGAGCGCGTAGTATGGTGAACTGCGGTTGTCAACTGCAATGTTCACCAGCCTCTTCTTTATCTTATCATACTTCAGCACCAGGTTTGGCCCATTGTACCTGTGGAGTGAGATATTTAAAAATAAATATTTTAAAATAAATATATGTTAAATATAATCATACTTGTCTTTTCATTTGGTTGTTTTCAACTAACTTCTAAAGAAAAAAAAAATGCTATAAGGTAGAAGTAGTTGTAGCTAAATCAGTTTACTTACAACTTTTTATTACACAATTGTGCTTATAACACTTGAACTGTGTTACTTGATTTCCAACTGATAAATATAATTGAGGCCATATATATGAATGTGGAAATAATACACACATTTGAAACCAAAGCAAACTGATGATCTTCCCTTCCTTTCCTGTCATATCATACTAAATTTATTTAATTATTTAATCACACTCTGGGAGAATGCTTTTAATGATGTGATCTCCTGTATGCTCGCCTCCTCCTTAGCTGCAGTGTATTATAGAAAAAGCAAAAGCCTGAGGGCTCTATCAGTCTCTGCCCATTTCACTGCAAAAATGCCAAAACAAGGCAGGACTGTCCAATTACCTCCATTTTCATCAACACACATCCACTACGGTCTAAATCTTCCTCAAAACCACTTTAGTTCTGTAAAGATCATTCAGTTTCTCATGAAAGATCACTTTCAAATCACAAATTGAAGTAATTGCATCCTCTTGGTAAACTGAGCTCCTGGCTGCTATTTACATTGCTTCTATATTAACAAAACACATTTTCAATTAAGCAGCGCTGAATAAATGTGTTTGGTTTGAAAAACAAAAATATCAGGTTCAGATTCCGGACAACAAGTTAATGAATATATTTATAAAACTGTTTTTTATTGTTTTGGATCCAACCTACGTTCTACCTTCTGAAACCTTAACATCTTTATTCAAACATTTAACTCACCCAGCTACAAATATCTCCAGATCTCCATCTCCATCCACGTCGGTGACGGCCACGCCATAGTTAAGCTGAGTGGGGTTGTTCTCGTAGTCAGGGGGCAGAACACTCTGAGTGACCGCTGCAAACATGGGCTCCGAACGCTGGGCCCACGACTGACCCATCATGCCCAGAGCAAGTGCTATCGTCCAAAGAGACATGGTCACCTGCTAAACCCACAACACATAACATTAGTGTTTCACAACCCCTTCCTGATCAGATGATGCATTGTAAGCTTGTGTAAATGAGAGTTTATTAGGACAAGGCAGCCATCCCCTTCAATCTAGGGCTGCCACAATCATGACATTTTAGCTGAAGATTAATTGTCATATAAATAATGGCGATTAACAATTTAATTGTCTTTTCTTCTTTACTGTTTACAGTTAAATTTCAAGCCTGGAATGACCAACCTGGCTGATGACCCAGCTCACCTGCTAGCTAAGTGTACTGCACAGCTTACACTGTCGAATCAACACACTTATACAAATATCTGCAGCAACACAGAATTATGTGTAGAGTTAGGCAAAGCCAAATGTTCTTCACGAATAAAAATATAAGTACAAAAAAAAATCAATTCTGCCAGCATACATGCTAAAAATGTTAGAATTAGCTAAACAGCTATCAAAGAAACAAAGATTACTCATGCTCATACATTTATCTGCCTTAAATCAGTGTACCCAATTCACATTTTGTTTGTTGCATAATATGATTGTGAAATCCAACAACTGTGGAAAATGATGACAGTCAGCTTAAAACAACTGTGATCACATCAAATGACAGTAATGAGGCGATAAGATAATAATTGTGACAGCCTACCAGAATCCATATCATTTATTTGTGCTCATCAAATTCCTGTTAGCTGGTATAGTATATGATATATATATGATATATATGATGTATGTGATATATATCACAGCTAGCTTGTCTATGGATGCTCTTAAATTTGTCCACACTGAAACAGAATGGAACTGATGTCAATGTGCGTCAACAAGACCCAACTCTCTTTCTTTTTTCTAGATATCCTAGATGCACTGGAGGCTGTTTATTACTCAATTTAATGCAGTTTAAGATCATTTTCATGGATAATTCTGACTCTATGAATCTAAATTACGAATTCACTATAGAAATTACAGGTTAAACTGTAATCAAACTTATGAAATCTCTTATGAAATCCCTGTATTTATTACTCTTAAATATTTTTTTAACCTTAAAAATAACTACAACTTGGTTTTTATCTTACTTAGATTTATATCAACAACATTAGAAGACCACACAACATGACAAACATTATTGTTGTTCAAAATTAAAATGTAATATGCTTCACTGTAGTGTGAAGCAATATTACTTGACAAACATATCTGAAATTTTGAGACCAACTGCATCAAAAGTGAAAAATAATATATTTCACAGTAGTGTAATACACCTCCCATGGTGCAGTAATTAAAGAACCACAATGAGACCACCCCCGACTCATTCACTATCCCTGCGCTGAGTATACAGTCTGCTCTGTCTTTGCACAAAACAATACCTGAAACAACACTGTCCTTCAGCTGGCTTTAAGATGCCTGAATGGTTTCCTCTGTTAAGAGAAAATTACCTGGTCAACATTCCACTTACAGGGAAAGAAAATAAATCGAAAGAGTGAAGACAGGTGAACGTGGCAGGTCCAAATTAAGACTTAAAAGAAAAGGTTGTGCGTCACTGAACATGAGACAGACACTTCAGACAGAAAAATCCAGAAGTGGCAGAGATTGAGAGACATTCTTGGAGAATGAGAATCGTGTACTTAACTGTCTGGATGGGTTAAATTCAGTGATAGTGCTTCAAACTGAGCACAGGACTATTTGTGAATAAAGGCTCATGGTGAGTTAGGTTCAGCGATCAGACAATAAAAGATGCAAAGCGGTGCAACAAAAGCTTGTATCTTCAAAATGGTAACTTTACAAGAGAAGGAAAAAAACAGTGGAATTCAATAAGATCTTTTTTTAAGTAATTTGGGACCATTTCAATTAGTCCATTTATCATGAAATTGTAACATAATGCAAAGGTCAATTGGCATCTTCAAATTCTGTAATAAATACAAAAATGGAGATGCAACAAGCAACAGTAAGAAGGATTTCATTACAATGATTGGGGGTTTAGAGGTTATACTGCTAAAAGAGTGTGGTTTTATTATAGTACTTTAGAAGTAAAGCAGAAAAAGATTCCACATAATGTATGATTTAAAATTACTGCAGTACACAGCCATTCAATATATAAAATATGTTAGTCTGCCTACTTACATTCAAGATGAAAGCCACATAATCTGCATATTTCAACATATATGGATGACTAATGCTGGATTAAAAGAGTAAAAGGATTCATAAACACTACCATATACATTAAAATCAGATTACTCTTAAATAGAATGGGAAAGAAGAAAGGACATGGAAGAGCAAGAGTGAGTAGAATGAAGGGAGATATATGTGGAGCAAGATTACAGGAGCCTTTACAAGCTGGCAAGATTTACGAAGAGACAGCTCTTATTATTACAGTGCACTGCAACGCCCCCAAATCACCTAATCTCATTCACTTTACTAGAGTTCTAAACTCATGCAGCTGCAGAATCAATGTAATGTGCCTTTGATTCAACTTCTCCCCAGAAAGTTCAAATGCTGTAACATTAAATAACACAGAACTCAAGTGAACATTTGTGATGGGATGCAGAAGCAGCTGAACTATTCAGAAGAAGGTCACAACACACAAAATAATAATAAAAAAAGGTTTACAGTGAACGCTTACAGTCAGCTTAATGACTATACTGAATGATTAGATGGGAAGCAGGCTGGGGAAAACATGGTAGCTGGAAAACAAACGTGTCATATTTATTATAGTGATTCTGCTGATAGAGAACATCTATAGGCTTGGAGTAGAGATGCTGCAGTGCTATGCTGATGATTAACGGGGTACAAGTATTTACTGTATCTAGTGCTGAGGGAAGTGCTCTGACCTGGTAGAACTTTAGACTGCACAAATATGAGGTCATATTTACAACCACTGTCCAGCAATAAAGCACAGAAGCGAGGTTAAATGTCCTTTGAATCCGATATCCATGTTGAGGAGGCATTGATGATGCTTCTCGTTACCTCACTGCAGTGGTGGCCAATGCCAGACTCACATGCATTATTGAAGGAACAAGTACTGTACAAATAATAATTATCTATTATATTCTATAATAGTGTATATACTGTACACAGCAAAATTCTCAGCTCTCTCTTATAGAGTCAACTATAAGCAGCGATTTTAAACATACAGGGCTGGTTTCCCATACCCAGATTAAGCTTAAACCTAGAACAGAAAGGCTTTTCCTAAGAGAATTACTATTGACATTACAAGTCAGTCCAACATTAGGCTTAATTTAAGTTAAACCGGCTTAAATAAGCGTCAGGCTATCTATTTTTTTCTTAAAATGCAGGGTTTTACACATAAACAGCTGCCCCAGTGCCTGGTTGACTCTGCAAAGTTCCTTGAACTCTAAATTTCAATTACAAGTTTTAATTCAGACTATTGGCTAATAAGAATAATGAAAAGAAGAAAAGAATGAATTTCAGCAAAGACATCCAAATGTCGTCATGCCTCCCACTGAAAAGGGTGCAGCATTAAAAAGCTGAAAGTTCACCTGTGTCACCAAAAACCTTCTCATCTTGTATCATAAGGAGATTAAAAACCCACAGCCTATTATAAAGCGCTCGTGCGCTGGATCTATGACTCACTTGCTCTCATCTCGCGCACGCTGTCCTGCATCCTCACATCTTGATAGAACTGCGACAAAGCCGAGCATCTTCACTTTCTGAACACGAACTCAAGAGTGTGAAGGACCCAATTACAGCCAGAAACTCGAGAAAACTTCGAGAACACAGGTCATGGTGACAGTGGTCTTCTTCAGATATACACAGGATTCATACAGCTCATTTAGCAACGCGCAGCCCTCTGCACTCTGACTGGAACTACGCAAATCACAGACACTAATCACAATTCAAACGTAGCGTAAAGCACTAACGCAAGAAGACTACGCAAAAACACAGAAAGCAGATCTATAAGTAAGCACATGGATTAAAAGCAGACATTTGATATCCTGATTTCTACTTCAGCCACTTCTTAAGAAGTTATAGAAACTTTACCCCGTACTAAATTAGTGGTGCCAGAATCAACAAACCAGCCACTAATCCGGACACCTAACGCCTCTGAATAATTAGAGGTCACGCCGAGGTTTACGCAGCTCCAGTCTAAGTTTAGGATTAGTGGCGAGTCTTTCAGCCCAGCCAGCACGCAGTGGATAAGCAGCGGTACCTACATGAGGAAGGACGATGGGCAGCGACGGGCAGGCAGTGGCGTCCTTGGCTCTGGCTCTCAGTGGACACGCTGTACGTCTCTGGGGTCCTATCACAATAGTCCTTTCACACAACTTCTGAAGTAATTGCTTTATGAAATCAGTTGTGAATGAATCCATCCAATAACGAGAGGCTTCACTGAATATTTAAAGAGGCAGCCAATGACGTGCAAGGAGGGCGGAGCTAAACCTGCCGCGGGGTGAGCGCTCTTTTACTCTGTTCTGGGATCAGATCCCTCCCTCTCACCTCACACACAGAAAGACTGAGATGTGGATGTGAGGAGCTGATCCTTCAGCAGGGATAAAGGAGGCAGCGGCTACCTAGCATGGAGGCAGGCTCGTGCGCTACCTGAGTTATTCTGCATAATAACAGAAGAGGAAGACTTTTGTGTGTGTGTGTGTGTGTGTGTGTGTGTGTGTGTATATATATATATATATATATATATATATGACATGTTCAAATTTATATATATATATATATATATATATATATATATATATATATATAAATTTGAACATGTCAGCTGCCGTTTTGCCATGTGTTAAATTGAATAGTGCAATAGAAATGCTCCAAAATTACTTGGAAAATTTGCTCCATTAACTATCATTCAAAGTTATAAATGTTTTTCCATTTTGGAGTTACCACTCTGGAAATGTTTTGTTGCATGTATTACATCCAATTTCTTTGGATCTTGGTCAGCTTGCACTTATCTTTCAGCTGCTCTTCACAATGTGTTAAAATTTCATGATAAATGAAGGACTTGAAATGCTCAGGATCGCTTGAAAAAAATCTTTTCCAATTAACTTTCATTCAAAGTTAACAGCGTTTTTCATTCTCCTGAAAAGTTACTACTGTTTTGAAGATAGAAGGTTTTGTCATGACAGCAATGATATGTTCTTTGACAGCAAAAATAGTTTAATAGCCCTTTAATAGCCAATCTGTCTCAGTCTAATAACACCTCCAAGACCTAGACCAGACTTACAGCTCCACTACAAACAGTGTAAAATATGAAGTGTACATATGTACATATAGAGTTCATGTTTATAAATTAAAAACGTATTCATTAAAACTTATTCCAGCCACTGTGAGCAGTCATTAAGTTAGCTTTAGTCAATTCTGAAGCAAGATTTTTGTAAATACCTGTGGCAATACTATGACATGTAATGACCGAGTCACGGCATTTACTCTGTCCCTAAAGCAAAATGATTTACTTTTTGCTGTTTACATGATCTTTATGATTCCCTGCGGCGATTGCCTGATGTTGTAATCTCAGAGTTATGTAAATTGAGGTCAGAGGAAATGCCAGACATTAACATTAATGTTCACATCAAGAGCTTTTGAACAGATCAGCTGGTGTGTCATTTTGCTTTAAACAGGGCAGTTATTGCTGTATGTAGCACTTCAAATGTGCATCCAAGAGATACCAGCTCATTGGTGTTAGTCAGACCAAATTACTGTCAATTAAGCCTTATGTGCCAATTATCATTACCTTGCCTGGCAAGTGCTCCATACAGAGAGACAAGGACAGTCTGAGTCTGAGATGAAAATCACATTTTAACTTTTAAAGAGTGGAGTGTGCCAAGACATTTAAAAATGCCCTCTATCTCAGCAAATGCAGGGGAAAAAATTAATGGGCTCACTCCAGGATTGATGTGGATAGGAAATGATGTTAATATCACAATCATAAATAACACTGTTTCAGCCCTCATGCTGCGAGGCAATTTGTTTAAACTTGTAAATATTATCATGAGGGTCTTCTTTTGTGTCATGCAACAGTAATTTGTTGTTTTATTTATACTGCATTTGATTTCCTGTGCTTCTGTGCTACAATATGATTTGTTTGAAGAGTGGATTTTTGCTGGTCTTTCCTCAACCAGCGGTGAAGGAGAACACATATGCTTGGATGTTGGTTTATTAGCAGGCCCGTACATCATCTAAGCCTGACAGCACACTAAAATGTCCTTGGCAGATTCTCTCTTCCACTTGCTCCTTGTGCCTGCCTGCCTACCTCCTGATGGATGCTGCCATATTTCTCCCACACGCCTCAAATGCACCCATCATCACTGCTCCTCATAATGCGTGACATAATCCTGTATAGACGCTGATAGTTCACGTACAGGGAATGAGCCCTATTCGGGTGAACCTGAGAGTTCGGACATTGCACATGCATATTCAAGTCAATGATCTAGGTTTAGGTAACATTAGGGTGAGATCTTATTTGTTTTTTGTCTTTGTTTGATTGTTTGTTTGTGTTTAGGTGGTATCTATTCAATATGCATCTATTGAGAACTTTGCTCTTTTGCAAGGCTTTTAGTTTGTCTTAGTGTCCACATGTTTAGAATTGAACTGTCTGCTATACTCATTCCATAAAAGCGGCAATCATTCTATCCTGTTGAAGTTAGTTGAAGTCATGTGCACTGTTAACAAACAAATAAATAAAGCACCCCTACAGGCCCTTCAAATATGTAAATATCTTAAGGTGAAAAATATTTCCTTTCCAGTATTTGTACCTGCTTCTTAAAGTAATATTTAACTTGTTTTTCTAACACTTTTTTATACCGACTTTGTCCACTCGCCATCCGTCACTCTTTAATTTAATGTATGAATATATGATTTATGCCTCAGTGGCAGAGACATAAATCTGTTTTGTGTGAGGGAGGGATAACAGCAGTGATGTTCCCTCATTCCCTCTATTGATTGGCTAGCTTAATAGTGTTTGTCCTTTATAGCTGATCTCAGGAAATAAAGGAAATAAATAGTTTAGAATGAGCTTTCTCAGGGGCCATCAGAGTGCTCGAGGTCTGAGCGGCATGTTCCTTCGAATTTTTTTTCCTGCGTGGCAATAGGTCTAACTATATATAGATTAAATATGATAAGGTCATGTGTGGAACACTATCAGAATCAGAATGGACAGAAAAATGTACAGAATGGTTTGTGGAATTAGTGCACTCTTTAAAGGGAGGGGCAGTGGTTTTATATACAGTCATACGCAAAGGTCAAAAGTTTTAACACAAAAATCATTCTTTAGCTGAACTTAATTGAATTATTCAATTTATTTCCACACAATTAAATGGATTTCTTTTAAAATAAGGTAATTTTGTTGATACAACATAATTATATAAACTAAGTTCACTGAACTTGATTTACTGTTGTTGATTTAACTTAGGTTGATCCAACTTATATTCCTAGCGTTGGTTTAACAGGTAGCTCCCAGTCAGTTTAGCACCGCACTCAGCAATAGAGAATATGGTAAAGCACATTAACAAGGCTAGGCAATTAACCAAAATATAAGCATGCGCCCAATAGAAGGTAGTATAGGAGAAAAGACAATACAGAGATGGTGAGTAAAATAAGAGGAAAGACAAGCCTAATATTTAAATTGATGGAGCCAGGAGCCAATACAATCTCTGAATACAAACAATAATCTTATTTTATTTATATTTAAATTTATTTGAGTATGTCTCTTGTGATAGATGATGGAAAAGGCAGAAAAATCCAATTCAATCTCTTTTATTTGACTTCATTGACTTAAGAATTACGTTCTTCTGACACCGTTATTTTAACTACAATTTAAAAATGGGTCAATTCAATTAATATGAACTTAATTTGTTTTTTCGTAACATGTACAAGAGCCAGTTTTATGTTTTTATGTTTATGAGTGTAACTGAAAATGTATCACATCCTCTATTAAAAGTTAACATTAAAATTTTAGTGCACATTTTTTATTTATTTCCTGAGTTTAACATATTGGAAAAAATGTACATATAAAATGTACCATAACTTTTGCACAGGCCACATGTTTTTTGTTCCCCCTTCAGCACATACGCAGTAATTGTGCATTAATCTTATTCACCAGGGTATATTTTGGTCTTTCCATCTGAATTTACATGACCAAATCGTAAGGCAAATTATTCAGTAACTGCACAAAATAAATATAATTTTTTATTTTATTTATTTGTTTTTTTGTAAAAGTTTCCCTCAAATTAACAGAAAATGTTTTATGATCATATATATATATATTGTTGTATGCTTACAATTTACTGCTGAAAGCCAGAAATCTTAGACGCTCTTTGTATTTTTTTATAAAATTTTTTTTTACAGAGTATATCACTGAATAGACACCATCTGTTTATAGTTTATAGCCCAGATTTGTGGAAAAATGGGTGAACTTTCAGTAGAAAAAATGGTTTAAAAGGGTTTAATGATAAGGGTTTAAAATTACATTACCCATCTATTTGACTGGAAAGAAGACAGTTACAGCTCACATATGACACCCACCTTTTGAATGTAGCTTATGAAATATGAAAGTTATGAAGAATATGACTAAGTGCGTTTTGGAACCACCGGTGGTCCCAAGGAGTTGAAAAGGTTAAAATGTGTTTCTCTGTAGAGGATGTGTACCTGCAAAATATATCATTTGACCAGGGGGGCCCAAACTTTTGAATATGACTGTATATTTGAATTCTTAATTGAGTCTTGTTGGGTCTTGTTGGATGGAGAACCTGTGGTATATGTTTTTAAAATGGCTTAAAATAGCACCAAAACGGGTTACAAGTCATGGAACCTTTTATGGTACTATACAGAACCCTTTTTGGTTAGAGTGTAGTTGAAAGTATATATTTTACTAATTATTAATCTTTACTAATTTAATTTACTAATCTTCCACAAATCTTTCTGAAATCTCTAGTCTTTCTACATATCAGTTCAATTAACATGCCTATTTTGTCATGGTAAATGCCCAATCAGCAGTTTGACAACGATCAGGATCGTAACACATTAGCTGTTATATTTAATGTTTATTTACTTGTCTATTTGCATCTTTATTAATTTAGTCATTTTCAGCATTGCCAAAATATGTTTATTTATTTTTGTTTGCCTGGATCCAACCTGTCAGGCCAGCTCTCCATCACTCTTTTTGACACAGGGGTTTCATGTCCTCAGGATTTGTCAAATCAATAAGAGAAATCAAACGCTGATTCGTAACAGTTCCAGCTTGTACAGGCTTTGGAGGAGAGTGGTGACAAATGGACACGTCTCAAATGTCTTAACACATCAGTGTCAC